CCCTCTCGCTCTCTCTGTCTTTCTCTACATCCCTCCCTCTATATATTCATAACTTAGATCTCCTTAGGTTTTCCCTTCTTTTTCTTCTTCTTCTTCTCTTTAAATTAATGACAAATTCTACAATATAGCTTTAGCCTTATCTCCTCAACTTCTTCTTCTCTCTTTTGTTCTCTTCGTTACCTTCAAGCCTTCGTCATCTCTTTTTTCCCCTTTTTTATATCAATCACACATTTCTTTGCCACCCAACTATCTTTCTTCGTTTCATCCATTGTTTTGTTGAGCTTCCATGTTTTCCTCACACATCTCAGTCAGGGTTTCAGACCCCTTTTAGTATTGTCGAAATCAATGTATAAGTGTTCAATCTCTTTTGGCTCGTATTCAAGTAAAACATTGAACTTCAGAAACACATAACAATCTGAATTGAGTTTTTTTTTTAACATATAAACCTATTCGAGATTTCATCTCATTCTTCAACTCTTCTTCGAAGATACAATATAAGCTTTATCATCTAAGATTTGGGTTTTAGAGAAACAATCAAAGGATGGACTGTTTTAGGATAAATTTAATTCAAAACTAAATTTTTAAAGCAACAGAGTTATACAACACAAGAATTAATTTTTACACATCAAAACATCTGAAAAATGCAAGGTGTGAGTATTCAATTCACAAGAATTTCAGTCATCTATGTTTCTTAGATTCTAGTGTCAGAGAATCATCAATTTACTCGGTACTCCGATGAAGCCTGAAACACTAAAAATATAGTTCTAGCAAGCTGAAACAAATTACAAGGATGATGAAAATTACGACTTGAATATTTCACTAGCAAAAATTCTTCTTCCTCTGTATTGGTGTATCTCCTTCCTTCAGCTAGTTTAATCTCTCCTCAAAGGTTAAAAAAAAATTGATGAATTCATTAATAAACCATAAAACTAAGAAGTGGGTTTGGGATTGACCATAATATAATCCAACACCAATTGGATGGTGTCATTTGCAATTGGTTTGCACTCTGTTCTCAATACGATTGTTGTATATCAACACAAGAATTTGACATGCACAAAGATTCTAGTCACACTGAATCTAGTCTCGTTGTCACCTGCTTTTCCTTTGCTCTTTGAGGTTATGAGACATCACATTCCGGTTCATCGACTTACCAACAAAGATATTGCTTTTATGCCTGATAGGTTTAGTCTTAAGAGTAATTTAATATTTTCTGATAAAAGAATGTGTTGGGTAAAAATCAAAACTATAAAATATTTTTTCCAGAAACAACATAATTGTTTTTGGGCATTAAAAAAATGAGAAAATTATTAAACAATAGACCTTGTTTTGTTCATGTTACATATCTTTAGTAAACTATAAAACCAAAACTAATCTGAACTGGTTACTCTCTTTTTGTTTAAAGATGCATGTCCACATAAGCTACAACGAAAATAAATCATAAAATTATATTTAGAAATAAAAATAAACATAAACAACAATATAAAGAAAATATATAGTAGAACCCAAAGGGAAAATAAAACATGAATTATACACACACAAAAACTCCTTTCTATGGTTTAGATCCTTCTAAAAACATCAGAATAACAAATTAGAGAGTTTACGAATATCAATTAAGCAAAGTAGAAATTCTAATAATTTGTTGACCAGAAAAAAGAAGTACTAATGATTTATTTACAATTACCTGTTAGATTCTTTTGAAGATATGATTGCAAAAGTTCGAACCAATCACCTATAGTTTGCGAGATGAACTCTAGGTTCAAGGAATACAATAAAAAAGCTCAGGTCAATCTATTTTTAATGAAAAATAACTCAAATATATCCATAGGAAAAACTTAATAAAGAGTGACACAAATATCTAATATGGAAGCAACAAATTTTATATATAGAATTACAAAGCAAAACAAAGAGCACAAATATGATATCTCGATGACCAATTGAATCGAGAGTAAAACAGAGGTTAAAAGATAAGATAGCTGTGATGCATAGTAATATAGAATACAATAAAAAAAAGCATAGATATTTGACCAGTTAGCATAGAAGAATCTTGATCGGAACAAAACGATAGCATAAAAGAACAACCAACTAAACAAACGATATAATTTAAACCAGATCGGGGTATACAAAAAAATTATTTGTGAGAAAAAGGTGGACGAGTTTTGTAAAAATTGCTAGACCTTAGAAGATGGTTGTTGTATGCAAAAATAAATGTAGTTGATACGAGTATATATAGTATGATAGAAGCTTTAGGATTTAGAATTTCAACGACAGTGCCCCATTACCAGAATCGGTGGTTTTGACCAAAAACAAAATCGCTGGTCCATAAACAAACTCACTGGTCCATTATCCAATGATAAAACCATGTCATAGGTTTTTATACGTACGATTAATGATTGACCTATCAAAACAAATAATATTTTTCCATTAATGTCACCTAGAACAATCGTTGTAGAAACAACATCTAAAATTTTTGACCTCGCAAATAATAGTATAGATGTATTAATTATCTAGCCTTTATCCAGTAACTATAACCGATTGGACATGCCAATTTATAAATACGGGTCTGTGACTAAAATTTTCTAGTTGAAATATCCAAAAAAAATTGATAATGGGGAACGTTTCTCTCAAGCTTTCACTTTTGATTTTCATTCTGGTCATCACATCTAGTAAGTATTTATATATATATATATATGGTTATCACATCTAGTAAGTATTTATATATATATATATATATATATATATTAAAATTGATTTATTCGAGTCGGAAAACATGTTCCAACCAATAAAAGTTTGTTTAAGAGCCAACTGTTGCCTTGTTTTTCTTTTAAACACTTAGTTCTATCGTTTTAACTTCACAAATATTACAAGATCATGTTTTTTAATCGTTAAAAACCATTTTGTTTATGTGAAAGATGGACAAGATCATGGAGCAGAATCAAGAGAGCTAAGTGGAATTGATGAGAAATTCAAAGTAAACACTGGCAAGACTCTGAATCTGCCCGGTCCACCTAGACCACCTTGCAAGAGGGACACTGATTGTATGTTTACATGTCTCAAGGATGGAGTCTGCGAGACTTACCTCGGCCTATGTTATTGTTTCTGATTATAAAATCACTTCCTAATCTATTTTTATCAATTATTCACCAATTCTTCGGACTTTATACAACTCGTTTGTATTTCTAAAATTACTACTAAGGTTAATCAAAATACAATCTAATCGCTTTGTTCAACAAAAAAGCTACAAATATCGATCTAATTAAAATTATACTAGTTAACTTTCCTGCGTCTTGTCCGGGCTAATATAATTTTTCATTTAATTGTTTGAAATTCTAATAGTAATTTAGATTCATTTGTTTTATTGTTGAATATATTTGTTTGTTAGATTATTATGCATGTTAATGTTTGAAAACATTATCATAAAAACAATATAAAAGAGAGTAAACAAAAATATATTAGTCTCCAAATAATTTAGCTTAAATATTTTTGAGATTTTTTATCATTGTTCTATGTATTTTAGACGTAGTTTTTTAAGTACCGTACAAACTTTTTTAATTTTGATCACTGTTTTTATATATTTTAGACATCACAAATATCATCATTTTGTTCGACATTTCATTGATTGTTTTTTACTTTTTCGTTAGATTTGACTAAATATCAATTTTATTAAATTTAAAGACGGTATTGACAATAAGGAGAAATATTAAACTATAATAATTTAGACCGATATGATTAAAGTTATTTTTTATTGAGTATTTATTTAGAAAACAGTAGTATATGTTTACCTGATGATTCTATGATTTTTTAGTTAGAATAAAGAAGAAGAAAGAGGTTATACAATTTTAAAAGTTGTGAGAGAGTTAGAGAAAAGTGGTTGAGATTAATACTAAATTATAAGAAATAAAAAAATATATAATTTTAAAAAACTTTTTTGCTAGATTTTTAATTAAATCTTTTTTTTTCATACAATATTTTATTAGTTTTTAAATAGATTCTAATTGTGTTTCTTTTAATAATTTTGTTAGATTTTTTGTAAAGTTTAGAAATATTAAAAAATGGTAATCACTAAAAGATATAGTTTCTATGTTTGATTTAAAAAAAAAAAACGTTTGACACCCTTTTGTCAATAATTCGTCGAATATCTTGTACTTTTTGTCCTAATTTTTTACCATTTTTTATTGCACGTAAAAGTTCGACTTAAAAAGTCATTTTTGATATTTAATATAATATTTTTTGTTGAACTGCCTTTCAAACCAATCTCTTTTATCCGCATTTGAGATAGTATTACATATGAAAGTTGAAACATATCGTAGTACAAATAACATAAATCAAGATAATGAATATCAAAAATATATTATTTTGGAAATACTCCAAATAATTATCAACACTCTCATCCTTTGTCAGCGAATGGTATGGATCTGTTTTCAGCTTTTTTTTTTCATGTTTGTCTCACAAACTTAAACTTAGCCCTTTTCAATTTTTCAGAAAAAAAATTACTATCTTAGATAATTAAATTATTTAGTGTTAAGATATTCCAGTCAATGCCACTGAGATTTCATTGTTTTTTCTTTTCTTCTCTACTAAATTCTCTGTTACAACGGCATTTGCTTTTATTTTTGGTTAAAATATAACTAAACACTTATAGAAAATATAATTTAGTGTTTGAATTTTGACTACTATTGACAAATGTCTTATTTACATGATTTTTCTGAACTTCATATTTTCAAAAAAAAATTTAACTATAAAAATTCATTTATAGAGATTTTAAAAACCTCTAAATCTCTCATACATTAAAACCTCTCTATTTATACACTACAAATACATTTATAGAGAGATTTGACTAGTATATATCCTCTATTATTTATAATGTATTAAATCTCCAAATCTTGACTATAATTGACACCAATCCTAGACCTGCCACACTATAATTGTATGGTTATATGGCTAAATTTATACTACGAATCAATCGCAACTTCATAGTTGAAATTTCTAAACCAAACTTGAAAATGAAGAACTTTTTCCTCAAGCTTCCATTATTGATTTTCATTTTGGTCATTACTTCTAGTAAGTAATTATATATATTAATCTATTTAATTTAAGAAAAATGATGAAAATTGTTATCTAATTCTGTATTTCATTTTTTTTTGTGCAACCATCATATATCATTTCTTAAAAATATTTTCAAAATATTTTAGCTAAAAGACATAAAAGATACTTAATATATTATTACTAGAGAAACAATATTGAACCATTTTGTTTATGTTAATGATGTTGAAAAATCTTGGAGCAGAAGCAAGACAATTAACTGGAGTCGAAGTTATCGCCGGAAGTTCAAATAAGACCGTCACCGCTGGGGCGGCACATCCACCTTGCAAGAGAGATGTAAATTGTAGCTTCGAATGTCCTAAGGGAGGAATGTAACGATTGCCTTGGCACATGTGATTGCTTCTAAGTGCTTATCGCTTTGTAATCTAATTTTCCAAATAAAATCTTACCCATCAAGACTTTAGACTTTATATTTTATATTCAAGATTAGTAAAAATCATATGCTTGAAATTTAATCTGCAAACTTGATTCAATCCAAATAAAAACAAAACAGTTTTTAAGGTCTACTCTTTAGGCCTCTCCTTGCCAATGATAATCTTGACCTCGAAGAGACGGTTTCTTCTTTTTCTTCTCCACTTTCATCATTGTCGAGAACAACAATGGATTCAGGCATTGATGTTTCTTCCAAGCCCAAGTTCTCAAACTCAACATCATCTTGATTTTGATTCTGAAAGTCCATTTGTGATGAAGTCTTCACCACACAAGTCTTTCTTTTGAGATTGAGGAGGCAAGGCAAGAAAATACTTTCTTACACTACCAGAACACGTACTACATTTAATAATAAACTGCAATTTTGAGTCTTTCTTCGGACTTTTAAACTACTTTCATTTGTATTTCAAGATTAGTTAGTACTCATAAGATTAATCAAAATAACTTGATTCAAACCTAAAAATGCAACAAAACAATTATCACCACTTTTTTCAAGGTCTACACTTGAGGAGATAAGTATATTAGTATCTCATTTCTCCTTGTCAACATATAAATTTCAATCTAGTTCAAATCATACGACATGAAATTAGCCACGTTCACGTATTTACCTTATTAGCACGATTCAATAACAATTGTGCCTAAGTTTGACACCCCCTTGTCCTTGATCCGTACCTACAAAACGATTTTGTTGCTTTGGTCCTAGTTCCACCGAACCTTTTTATATAGTTTTTGATCGGTTTTCTTTCTAGTATACGTGTAACAAGAAGTCTTTTATACTATTTATTGTTAAATCAAAACATTAATTTGGAAATACTCCCAATAATTATCTACAATCTCACCCTTTTTCAGCGAAAGATATGGATTTATTTTTACTTCTTTTTTTCATGCTTGTCTAGCTTAAACTTAGATCTGATTTTAAGTACTCCTTATTTTAAAAAACTAAATTTAATTATAAAAATACAATTAAAGAGAAATTTGAAAACCTCTAAATCTCTTATACATTAAAAGAAGTTATCAGGAATCTACGACAATTTTGTTAAAAGTTATTAGGAATCTACGAAAATCCATAGAAGTTATTATAAAGAATCCAAATTTTGGGTACACAGATTTATTAGAAATCCACAAAATCTTTGAGATTTTTATAATCTCTCAATTTTAGAAATCTTCATCTTTTGAAAAAGGAATCTTATTATTCAATATTTAGTGGCCCTAATAATTGGTAATGTAATAATTCTCTAGCCTTTAGTGACATGCCAAATTATAAATATACGGGTATGTGACTAAAATTTTCTAGTTGATAACGTCAAACAAAATTTGAAAATGGGGAATGTTTCTCTCAAGCTTTCACTTTTGATTTTCATTCTGGTCATCACATCTAGTAAGTATTTTTATATATATATATATATATATATATCGTAAAATTGATTAATTCGGGTCAGAAAACATGTTCCAACTAACAAAAGTTTGTTTTAGAACCAACAGTAGCCTTGTTTTTCTTTTAAACATTTAGTTCTATCGTTTTAACTTCACAAATACTACAAGATCATGTTTTTTAATCGTTAAAACCATTTTGTTTATGTGAATGATGGACAAGATTTTGGAGCAGAATCAAGAGTGCTAAGTGGAACTGATGAGAAAATCGAAGTAAACACCGGTCCACCTTGCAAGAGGGACATTGACTGTACGTTTAGATGTCCCAATGATGGAGTCTGCAATGTTTACTACAGCACATGTGAATGTAAATGATGGAGTCTGCAATGTTTACTACAGCACATGTGAATGTATCTGACTATAAAATCGCATCCTAATCTATTTTTATCAATAAACATGTTCACCAATTCTTCAGACTTTATACTACTCGTTTGTATTTTCAAAATCTAAGAAAAGTAAAAAATTATATCAATCTAATTAAAATCATATGTCATAAAGATAGCCACGGTCACATATTCAATTTATCACGACGGTTCAGTGACAATTGCGCCTAAGGTTGACATCCCTTTGTTATTGATTCGTCGAAGATCTTGTACCTTGATCATAATTTTTTACCATTTTCTTGTATTTTCGATTAGTTTTCTTTCTAGTGCACGTAAAAGTTCGATTAAAAAATTCACTTTTGATATTTAATATAATATTTTCTGTTGAGCTTTAAGATAGTATTATATGAAATTGAAATATATCGTAGTATATAAAACTAGACCCCTGAAAATAACCTAAAACAAGATTTTGAATATAAACGTAGACTCATGAAAAACATTTAGCAGAAATAACCTAAAGGGGTAGTGAAAAGATCATTTAATCCTGTATGAGTAAACAAAAAATGGATGTTCTAATTACCGTTTACACCCTGACGAAGTCTACTAAAGAGAAAAAGAAGTCTAATAGTAGACTTCTTTTATCGAAATGAAGTCTACTAAGTAATTAAATCTGGAAATTTAATTTTAAAATTTTTAAAAAATTATTTTGATATCAAATTTACATTCATAAATTCTTCGTAACCCAAATGTACATAAATTATTTTTTCATATTGCTAAATGATAATGTAACCCAAATGTACATAAATTATTTTTTAAATTAAGTAGAAATAAATTTATTATTTAGGTTTTAAAAGTTGTAAACTTTTATATTTAGGTTTTAAAAGTCTGTTAAACCGAATAAAATAACCTAACCGAAATTTAAACCGAAATTAAATCCAAATTAAACCAAAAATATTTATTTTAATTGGAAATTTTATCTTACTATATAAACCAACGAATCCTCGTAAAACCCTAATTTTTTCAAAACTCTCTCTCTAATTCGGCGATTTCCTCTGGCCTCCATCGCCTCTCTCACGATTTTTTTCCAAGCTCAGAGATTCTTTCAATCCGGTATCAACAACTCAACAACGGCGAATCAAGCAGCTTCTGTAGGTGACTTTTTCAGATCTACCGCATCTCTCTTCTCCTTCACAGCCGATAACATTGAGACCTAAAAGGTATGTTATTTCCTCTCGATCTCTTCTTTATCTTCCATGGAAAGATGAATACGAGAGAAATCAATGGTTTTGCCTCTGCCGCGAGATCGATATCTCTTCCTAAGCAGCCTGATTACAGAAGCAATCCTGTCCAGATCTTTAGGATACCTAGTTATTTTTGTTGTAATGGTTTATCGAATTATTCAGAGAAAAGCAAAAATATGCCAATACTTGGGTGGTAATTTTGATTTTCAGGTGAAAGAGGACGCTCTAGCAAGAAGATGAAGTACGGTGGGAAGGTTCGTGCTAAGTTTTCTTAAAGGAGAATTCTTTTATTGATAAGCTATTCAATGTTAGTTACTTTAATTCATTGTTAAAATTCTCAGGATGATCAAAAGATGATGAACATCCAAAATGAATAATATTATCTTGGTGATGATGCCGATAAGGATTCTCGTGATGGTTAGTAAATTAGTTTTTTTTTTTTGCTATATTGTAGGTTGATTTTGTACTTCTATATATACATAAGAAACATTGTAACTCAGTGAAGAGGAATTGTAATGGTTTCGTAGGTGAAGGATAGAAGAAGGATAGGATTATAGCAAATTGGAGTTGAAGCCATATATATAATGGAAACATGCCTTTGTATCGCCATAGCTGAACCTATTTGCAGGTGCTCACTGCTCACCATATATTTATTTCTTCTAGAGAGATTTTGATTTCGTTTTGTAAGAATCAAGGGCTTGAGGATGCTTAGACCTAAAATCATATGGTCTTAAATGAGAACTTATGTGTTGAGGTTATACGAATTCTTAGTAATGGTGTTATGGCGTTGGTAGCTTCGTTTGCTTTTTAACAGAAACATGAAGGAAAATGTAGAAAGTGTGATCTTGTTGTTTGATTTCCTTTGTATGTTGGCTTCACAATATATACTTCCTTATGGTTTTACTCTGATAGAAGCATTGTTGTTGTACAGGTCTAGCTCACAGGAACTCAGTGTGGGAGGCTCATAATGAAATTTTGGTGACTATAGAAAGGATTTGATGCTACTCGGTGGCTAGATCGAACTTTTTAAAGCTGTTTACTTCTAAATTCAAGTGACATAGATTCGGTTGTAGCAAGGTCAATAATCTCGGTAATGGTGTTTCATTTGTAACATCTTCATTTAATCAATAATGGTATAATAATATCCTAAATCTCGGGAGAGGCTGATCTCTTTAAGAAAATACAAAGTTTGCTTCTTTTACCACGTGCCCTTTTTGGGCTTGCATGTAATGTTGCTGTCACTTTATAATCAAGTGTTGTCGTTCAGATTTTTTAGCTTCATGATCAGCTACTTTAAAATCAGGAAATTTCAATTTTAGGAATAACATTCAAATAGAAGATTTGTCACAAAATATATTTCAGAGATTCACAAAATATATTTCAGAGACAAAGCAATAACACTCTTACATAACAAAATCAAGTCGAACTATTCTGTATATTTGATAAGAAGAGACGAAAGGCAAATAATCTAGTCCAACAGACTTAAATAATGTGGACTGTTGTTATCTTTAAAAACTTTTGTCTGTTTTAGAAAGACACAGAGCTTGAGAATATGGTAAAAACTAGAATGAAGAAGCAATGAACAAAAAAAAGAGTTAAAAAAATGATGAAAAACAGGTATTTGAACTATTCTTGTAATAAATTACACAAGTAAACCATACTAGCAAACTAAAATAGGAACTACATTATTGCAAACACATAAGATACAAATTTTTTATATAAAAGACTTTGTTTGGAGACTTCGTGTGTAGACTTCATCCGTATTCGTGTGTAGACTTCATCCGTAGACTGTTGAAGAAGTCTACTTTTACAAGCTAACTAGCTTATAAATCAAAAAATTCGATTCCACAATAAATATCGACTTAAATCAAATGAAAATCATTGAGTAGTTCAACCACTTGCTAACACGCATGTCAAAACCTAAAAATTAAAAAAAAAATTTATAAATATTTAAAATATGTGTTTTTAAAATAAATAAAAAAAGTAGACTTCCTAATTAGACTTCCTTAGTAGACTTCAAGAGAAGTCTACTGAAGTCTACTTTGATAAGCTAAGTAGCTTAAAAATCAAAACTTCTGATTCAACAATAAATATCGAATGAAATGAAATGAAATTCACTGGGTATTTCAAAAAAACATTTCTAATCCAAAAAATAAAAAAAAATACTTTATAAATTTGCCTAAAATGCGTTTTTATATCATTTAGCCCTATTTTTCAATCACGTGTCATTATTTGATTGATTTTTATCTGATGATGCATAAAAAAAAAACTTAAAACAGATCAGTCTAAATAATTAGGGAGAGTTTCAGATTTAACCCATACTAGATTTTAACCCCGTGCGTCCGCACGAGAATTTTTTATTTCTAATATAAATTGCATTATTTTTTTTTAGATATAATTAGTTTTTGTTATTTATTTTTTTAAATCAAAAAATTGTTATCATGTTTTAATTTTAAACAGTAAAAATTTGTATATTAGTAGAATAAGAGTATGCGTTAATTAAGTATATATTGATCTAATGTTAATTATAAACTTTGTTATTATGCGAATTTAGATTTACACATAAATAATCTATATATCTATGAATTTGCTAACCCATCCGTTTAGTTGTCTAAAATCATTTTAAATATCTTACATGTTTTGACAAACTAAACTGTATAATATAATTATAAATGTATAACCCTATACATATTTACTAATATTGAATATTTGGACCAATTGATTATAAAAAAATATAATAAAATATTTATTTACTATTTATGCTATTACAAAAATGTACATATATATATATATATATATAAACTGGCTAACTTGTTAGTCCCTAGTTTAAATGTCTTAAATCATCTTAATATCTTACATGTTTTTATAAATTAACTCATAGACCTTAAGTATATATAGATATATATATAACTCTAATCAGCTCGATCATATTACTATATAATATAAATATTTATTAATCTAAAATAATTGATATTTTAGACCGATTGATTATGATAAAATACGATAAAATATTTATTTACTATGCAGTTTTATAAAAATATTATTTAAATTTAAAATTTAAAATTAAATCGAACCTGTATTTAAGGAATTCTAAAGTATTAAAATTATTATCTATATTTTTGTCATAAAATTTAATTATATTTTTTGTTGATTTTTTTGAATTTAAATTCATTTAAATACAGATTTTTGTAATTAAATTTAATTAAATTGCGACCGCACAAGAATGTTTTATCTTTTATTTCTAATATAAGTTGATTTATTTTTTTTGTTTAGATATAATTTGTTTTTGTTATTTTTTTGTTTAAATCAAAAAATTGTTATCATATTTTAATTTTAAACAGTAAAATTTGTATATTAGTAGAATAAGAGTATGCGTTAATTAAGTATATATTGATCTAATATTAATTATAAATTTTGTTATTATGTGAATTTAGATTTACACATAAAAAACTATATATCTATGAATTTGCTAATCCATCCGTTTAGTTGTCTTAAATAATTTTTAATATCTTACATGTTTTGATAAACTAACCCGTATAAGACTATAATTATAATTGTATTATCCTATAAATATTTACTAATATAGAATATTTGGACCAATTGATTATGAAAAAATATAATAAGATATTTATTTATTATTTGTGCTATTAAAATATATATATATATATATATACATATATATATATATATAAACTGGCTAACCTGTTAGTTTAATTGTCTGAAATCATCTTAATATCTTACATGTTTTAATAAATTAACTCATGGACCTTATATATATATATATATATATATATAACTCTAATCAGTTCGATCATATTATTGTATAATATAAATATTTATTAATCTCAAATATTTGATATTTTAGACCAATTGATTATGATAAAATACGATAAAATATTTATTTACTATGCATTTTTATAAAAATATTATTTAAATTTAAAATTTTAAATTAAATCTCTCCTGTATTTAAGAAATTTTAAAGTATTAAAATTATTATCTAAATTTTCGTAATAAAATTTAATTATAATTTTTTTTGAATTTTTTGAATTTAAATTAAATTGAATGCAAATTTTTGTAACTAAGTTTAATTAAATTTCTAATAATTTGAAATTTAAATTAAAGATGACCTCGATTTTAGGAAATCTAAAAATATCTAAATTAATAACTAATTTTCGGAAATTAAATATAAAAATAAAATAAAAATATTATAAAAAAAACTTTGGAAGTATTTGGATGCAAGCACCAAATGTGCTTCTTTTTTAATAGAATAGATAGATTTCAAAGTCAAACACCAAACTAACCTCTTTTTTTCTCTCTCAAACTTTTGCCATTTTCTCACAATTTTAGCAGATTTAACCCATATTTCAAAGTAAATATTTGAGCTCATTCACTCATAACCTTCCTCATTCTTTCATAATTTCTTCTCCAAAACATCTGGGCTAAGTTACAATACCAAATCACTACACTACACAACTATATAGATGGATAGCACGGTCACATATTCACTTTATCATCACGGTTCAGTGAAAATTGTGCCTAAGTTTGACACCTTTTTGTCAATAATTCGTCGAAGATCTTATACTTTTTGTCCTAATTTTTTACCATTTTTTTATTGCACGATAAAAGTTCGACTTAAAAAAGTCATTTTTGATATTAATATAATATTTTCTGTTGAACTGCCTTTCAAACCAATCTCTTTTGTCCGCATTTGAGATAGTATTACATATGAAAGTTGAAACATATCGTAGTACAAATAACATAAATCAAGATAATGAATATAAAAAAAATATTATTTTGGAAATACTCCAAATAATTATCAACACTCTCATCCTTTGTCAGCGAATGGATCTGTTTTCAGCTTTTTTTTTTCATGTTTGTCTCACAAACTTAAACTTAGCCCTTTTCAATTTTTCAGAAAAAAAATTACTATCTTAGATAATTAAATTATTTAGTGTTAAGATATTCCAGTCAATGCCACTGAGATTTCATTGTTTTTTCTTTTCTTCTCTACTAAATTCTCTGTTACAACGGCATTTGCTTTTATTTTTGGTTAAAATATAACTAAACACTTATAGAAAATATAATTTAGTGTTTGAATTTTGACTACTATTGACAAATGTCTTATTTACATGATTTTTCTGAACTTCATATTTTCTAAATTTATACTACGAATCAATCGCAACTTCATAGTTGAAATTTCTAAACCAAACTTGAAAATGAAGAACTTTTTCCTCAAGCTTCCATTATTGATTTTCATTTTGGTCATTACTTCTAGTAAGTAATTATATATATTAATCTATTTATTTAAGAAAAATGATGAAAATTTTCATCTAATTCTGTATTTCATTTTTTTGTGCAACCATCATATATCATTTCTTAAAAATATTTTCAAAATATTTTAGCTAAAAGACATAAAAGATACTTAATATATTATTACTAGAGAAACAATATTGAACCATTTTGTTTATGTTAATGATGTTGAAAAATCTTGGAGCAGAAGCAAGACAACTAACTGGAGTCGAAGTTATCATATGCTTGAAATTTAATCTGCAAACTTGATTCAATCCAAATAAAAACAAAACAGTTTTCAAGGTCTACTCTTTAGGCCTCTCCTTGCCAATGATAATCTTGACCTCGAAGAGACGGTTTCTTCTTTTTCTTCTCCACTTTCATCATTGTCTAGAACAACAATGGATTCAGGCATTGATGTTTCTTCCAAGCCCAAGTTCTCAAACTCAACATCATCTTGATTTTGATTCTGAAAGTCCATTTGTGATGAAGTCTTCATCACACAAGTCTTTCTTTTGAGATTGAGGAGGCAAGGCAAGAAAATACTTTCTTACACTACCAGAACACGTACTACATTTAATAATAAACTGCAATTTTGAGTCTTTCTTCGGACTTAAAAACTACTTTCATTTGTATTTCAAGATTAGTTAGTACTCATAAGATTAATCAAAATAACTTGATTCAAACCTAAAAATGCAACAAAACAATTATCACCAATTTTTTCAAGGTCTACCCTTTTTTTTTTTTTTTTTTTTTTGGTAAACAAGGTCTACACTTGAGGAGATAAGTTTATTAGTATCTCATTTCTCCTTGTCAACATATAAATTTCAATCTAGTTCAAATCATACGACATGAAATTAGCCACGTTCACGTATTTACCTTATTAGGACGATTCAATAACAATTGTGCCTAAGTTTGATACCCCCTTGTCCTTGATCCGTACCTACAAAACGATTTTGTTGCTTTGGTCCTAGTTCCACGGAACCTTTTTTTATAGTTTTTGATCGGTTTTCTTTCTAGTATACGTGTAACAAGAAGTCTTTTATACTATTTATTGTTAAATCAAAACATTAATTTGGAAATACTCCCAATAATTATCTACAATCTCACCCTTTTTCAGCGAAAGATATGGATTTATTTTTACTTCTTTTTTTCATGTTTGTCTAGCTTAAACTTAGATCTGATTTTAAGTACTCCTTATTTTAAAAAACTAAATTTAATTATAAAAATACAATTAAAGAGAAATTTGAAAACCTCTAAATCTCTTATACATTAAAAGAAGTTATCAGGAATCTACGACAATTTTGTTAAAAGTTATTAGGAATCTATGAAAATCCATAGAAGTTATTATAAAGAATCCAAATTTTGGGTACACAGATTTATTAGAAATCCACAAAATCTTTGAGATTTTTATAATCTCTCAATTTTAGAAATCTTCATCTTTTAAAAATGGAATCTTATTATTCAATATTTAGTGGCCCTAATAATTGGTAATGTAATAATTCTCTAGCCTTTAGTGACATGCCAAATTATAAATATACGGGTATGTGACTAAAATTTTCTAGTTGATAACGTCAAACAAAATTTGAAAATGGGGAATGTTTCTCTCAAGCTTTCACTTTTGATTTTCATTATGGTCATCACATCTAGTAAGTATTTATATATATATATATATATATATATATATATATATATATATATATATATATCGTAAAATTGATTAATTCGGGTCAGAAAACATGTTCCAACTAACAAAAGTTTGTTTTAGAACCAACAGTAGCCTTGTTTTTCTTTTAAACATTTAGTTCTATCGTTTTAACTTCACAAATACTACAAGATCATGTTTTTTAATCGTTAAAACCATTTTGTTTATGTGAATGATGGACAAGATTTTGGAGCAGAATCAAGAGTGCTAAGTGGAACTGATGAGAAAATCGAAGTAAACACCGGTCCACCTTGCAAGAGGGACATTGACTGTACGTTTAGATGTCCCAATGATGGAGTCTGCAATGTTTACTACAGCACATGTGAATGTAAATGATGGAGTCTGCAATGTTTACTACAGCACATGTGAATGTATCTGACTATAAAATCGCATCCTAATCTATTTTTATCAATAAACATGTTCACCAATTCTTCGGACTTTATACTACTCGTTTGTATTTTCAAAATCTAAGAAAAGTAAAAAATTATATCAATCTAATTAAAATCATATGTCATAAAGATAGCCACGGTCACATATTCACTTTATCACAACGGTTCAGTGACAATTGCGCCTAAGGTTGACATCCCTTTGTGATTGATTCGTCGAAGATCTTGTACCTTGATCATAATTTTTTACCATTTTCTTGTATTTTCGATTAGTTTTCTTTTTCTAATGCACGTAAAAGTTCGAATAAAAAATTCACTTTTGATATTTAATATAGTATTATTTTCTGTTGAGCTGCCTTTCAAACCAATCTCTTTTGTCCGCATTCATCGAATTTTCTAGTCAAATTCGAGATAGTATTATATGAAATTGAAAAATATCATAGTATATTATACTATTGATAAGAACCGTCCTAGAATTGTCACACACTTGGTTTGGTGGGGGTTGATAGATCCTTGATTCCGAATCGATTCGGAGAAAGAGATGCTAAAGCGTGAGCATAAACCCGAATATCCTTAGGCTTATTTCAAAGAAAAGCACGAAAACGAGGGGATGGAACAAAGAAGGACAAGGGTCGCGATATCGGATGTTAGGGTGTGAGACAAGTCCCGAAAATCCCTAAGCCCCAGATATGACTACGATCTCTCTCTCACTCTTTGTAGGTGAAGGCTGCGTCAAGTAGGATGACAACTACTTGATAAACCAAAACAATAAAATAGCTAACCACCATAAATCGAAAAGTTCACGAAGAACAAAAGAGAAAACTCAAAGATAAATTTTATTAAGAGAAAAGAGATGATCTCAGTCTGAGTACAACGATGCCTTTATATAGAGGCTTAAGAAGACCATCGGTCATACATAGGAAATAAAAGAAAATAAATGAAGACAAGAAAAGTTGAATAACGATCAAACTTCCTTGAATGACCCTTCGCATCCTTTACCGATAAAACTCTTGAACTTTTAAGTATCGTACTAAGCCGCGAACGAACCATAGTCGTGAGATGGGTGATGCCTTAACCTCGTTAAAACCCCATTCGGTAAACCCAGTGGGACAAACCCGAATGCAAGGAAAAAAAGTATTAAAACAGCACCCCAATCAGGCTAGTTCGGACCTGAGTACATGATCACGGTCATGGCCTTGTGATTTGGTGTTGGGTCTGTTACTTGGCCTTGGCTCCTAAGACCAGTAAGCACACGCTAGATCGCTCCCGTAAGCATCTTGGTACGTGATCTGGTCATTGGGCCGGCTGGCACGACCAGAATATCATCTGGGTCGGTAGCTTGGTCTTGTCCCTCGGCCTGAACCTCGACTTTTGTCTCGTCCTTTGTCTCCTTCGGTTCCATGATTATATCATATATTATCTTGGAAATAATCCAAATAATTATCAACACTCTCATCCTTTATCAGCGAAAGATACTTCTACTAATTATCTAATCCTTTTTGCCATTTAAATTGAATTTTCACACAGTTATAAAAATCATTTATATGAAATTTAATCAGATTACATAAAAAATAGAAAAAGTTATAAAAAAAATATTTACTCCGACCCTTGTGAAATCACCTTCTATAATAGTCTACTTCGACAAAAAAAAAGAGGACAAACTCCGATAACTTTTCTCCGGCATATTTTTTGCCGATCTACTGTCTATTTCAATTCTGGTAAGTCAATTTAACCGCCGTCGTCCTCTTATATCATCTCCCTACTCCTTCTTTGTTAGTTCGTTTCATTTGATTGACTTGTTAGATTTTTTAATCCCAATTTGATTTTTGTTTTCTGGGTGCAGCCAAAGTTATTTTCATGGATAGCGAACACCGACGTTACTGTATCAACTGATAATCTCAAGGTAATCTATTAATTTACAGTGTTTAGTCTCTACTAACTTCTATTGATTTGCATTTGATGTAGATGAGTTTTTTCGACATTCTTATTTGTTTTCGACATTCTTATTTGTTTTTGCAATTTGGTTTATGTGTGTTTGTTACTGATAACTATTGTAGAGATGAGATCAGACTGTTGCTTAATTAGTTGTAAGAACTAGTTCTTTGTAAACAACTGTTTCAGCTTTTGCGCTGTTATTGCCTAGATAAATTGTTTGATTGTGGACATAATTTTTTTTTCTATTGCTCTAGGTTCGTTGTTTATGCTCGCTTTTAAAACTATGTATATGCAAAGTTTCCAGACGGATTTCCGACGGATATGGTCGTCGAAAATCGCATATTTTTTTTGTATTGTCACCTCTGAGCTGTACTCTTTGAGTATCATTTGTTTCTGGTTGTAAAATTGAAAGCAAAGTCTATTGTAGTGTGTGTATCATTTGAGTTTCATTTGTTTTTGAGTTCTGTCTTATTTTGATCTGTCATAGCGAGTTCTACTGAGTACTGATGTTTGTGAGTTCTTGATGTGGGTTTAAGACAGTTTTGGAGTAGCAGATTAAGTTTAGTATCTATTAACATTCTACTGAGTACTGATGTTTGCGTAGAAGGGTTTTTTGTTTTCTAATCTTTGTCTTCCTCATTCTGACTTGCTTTATCTTGGCTCTTATTAACACATAGCACATAGCTTTCGATTGTTTTGATATAATATTGTAAATTATAAGCTTTTGATGTGTTTCAGCACATAATGTATAAGCTTATTTGCAGATCAAAAAGCGTGAGAGGTAACATCTACAGTTCAATCTTAGGTTCTTAAGTTAAATCTTTCTCTCAGATATGTCTTCAGTCTCTTTCTTCTATGTAGTTTTTGATTCTTTTATGGTTTGAAGTAATTATTTTTGTTTCTTTTTCTTAACGCAGTACCATATCTCATACCCAACGAGGCTTTCTCATACTTCATTAGGATCTTCTGCCTCTTCCTTCTTCCCCAAAGCCTTCAGGTAAGCATTCAGTTTCAGATTTTTCAAAATAACTTGTATCACTTAAAAGATGGATAGTTTAAGTGTTCATTGCTATTAATATGTCAAGCTTTAAATATGGATAGTTTAGGTGTTTGTTGGTATTAAGATTTCAAGCTTTTTTAGCTATGTCTCACTTTACAGATGCGTGTTTTCTATGAAAATCATTTTGTTCATATCACAATGCTCTGTTTTGAGGAATCTACTTTCATTTGTTAATAAAATTCATGTGCAATAGTTTACTAGGAATTACAGCCAAGATTTACTAGATGGCATCTGATTTCGGAATTATCTTTTAGTTGTTCGTTACTTTTCTATAATTTAGGTGAATTCACATTTCTTCAAGCTCATTATTTTACAATAGGTTTATGATTGTTTGTATCATCTGCAAAAATTTGTGTTAAATGTGTAACTTTAAATTTAGAAATAAAATGTTTGCTAGTTAGTAGATTTTGCAAGTATCTAAGGTTTTTTTAATCAAGGAAAAAAACAGAATGTCGAATTATGATTTGTTGTCTACGAATTAAGCAATTGTTCACGATGTTGTTTTTATTATTTGCAGGAATGGATATGGAGTTGTCTTAAACAAATTTTTACGCCAGGAAGTAAACCGCAAGTTGAAAAAATTAACAACCACTGCACATTGTCGATCCTCACCCTAGTTGAGACGCACTTGAACTCTAAGTCCAAGAAAGTATTGGAAGATCCAGTATTTGGTCTGATCGTGAAGATTCATTGAAATGGTATCAGATAGTCGGTGAGGCTGATCCACAGCTTTATGTGTAAATAGCTCATGACAAACAAGAAGCATGAGCTGTGGTTCATTTCTGGACAGAAACCTCTTTTATTATCCATGCAAGAGTACTATGCAGTTACTGGTTTCAACTTCTGGGAGACAAGGAACAACAAAAGGGAAACTGGAAGAAAGATGGTGGTTTCTGGAGCAATTTGTTAGAGAGTAATGCAGGAATAACCCTGAAGATGATAATGGATGTACACCTCAGGAATGCTAACAAGTGGAGCCACGATGATAGGTTGAGATTGGTTTATTTGCAGGTTTGGTAATGGCTCAGAGTGTTTATATTCATATCACGCGAAAGTATATTGTGTTTGTGATGATTTAGAGAGGCTGCGGAGATACCCATGGGGGCTTAAGTCATTCAAATTTTTGGTGGATAACATTTTGAAGAGTAGGGTGAGGCTGCAACAAGGGAAGTCATATACATTAGATGGTTTTTCACTGTCTTCAGATCTGAATAATGGAAGCCATTCCTGTTTTTGGAACAATGTTGGGTAGAAGAGTCGAAAATGAGCATGTTCCCATTCCTAGATGCACTAACTGGAGTGGAGCTGCACTAGTGTCATATGCAGAGATTTTCTAACTAGAAATCACCTTTAAATACGAACTTAGTACTGTCTTACTTACTTAAAAAAAAAAAATTATTGCTGGCTTTGCTTATATTTGTTCCATCTCCATAAATGTCTAACTCCTTTTTTTTTTTGCTCCCAACTAATTCTTACAGGATGTCATATATCCGTTCATCTCTTGTACTTGGGATTTTAACATCATTGATTTGGCCAATATGTTAGGGATGATGAAATGACTGATGAGAGAGTAGATTGCATAAAGAACATGGTCAGTCAGGGAAAGGATTGGTCTAGCCATGTTAGGGAAATTGAGGGAGCTATTAGCACATCTTCAACTGCTCATGAAGAAACATCAAAGACCAATGGTGTTAATACATGCGAAAATGGTTTAATTGAAGCTGAGACACCGAGTTGCGTAGCAGGTGATGTATCTGTTTCAAACCGCGGCAAAAAAATGGCTGATCATGGTTCAGATGCACGGAAAAAGAAGATATTGTGGAAACAATCAGCAACGAAAGAAAGAGATATTGATGATGGTCTCAATGCCTTTATTTGAGATTTGCTTCAGAGTACAATCAAACCTTTGGAAGAGAATATCGAGAATCTTCATAAGAAAATTGAGGTATTAGAGAACTTTGTTGCTAGGTTGACAACGGAGACAGGAAAACCATCTACAAGTTCTCCACCCATCAATGCCGAGGTTGTTCAGCCTTCAAAAACTGTGCGGAAGACAAGAAAATTTGTTGCTGGCTTGACAACACAAATAGGAAAACCATTTACAAGTGCTTTACCCACCAGTACCAAGAGCATTCCACCTCCAAAAACAATACGAAAGACAAGAAATTCTAAGCCATGAACTACTCAGGAAAAAATAATCATGTTTGGAAAATAGAAATCTAAGTTCATCTTTGCTTCGTTGTGTTAGAGTAATAACTGAACTTGTATTTAAAATGTATTACCTTTTTTTGTAAAATATTAACTAATATATATTTTTTTTTTGCTGGTTATGTCGTTTGATGTTTCTTAATGACATTATCATTGTCTCATATTTTTTTTTGTATTACCAGGCCGTGAAAAATGATGGGCCATTTTCGGATCTGCTTGACATCTAGTTAACTCAGTTTTCAGAGATCAATTTTGGATTGAACACCCAAGAGTTCCTTGAAAAGACTTCAAGCCATCTATCTCAAGATTTGTTTGTTACCGGGTTTGATCTAACACCTTCTTTGAAGGCTTTAGAACAAATAGAATTAGTACCCACAGTCAAAAAGTCGAAGCCACTGCAGAAAGAAGTTCTAAACAACTTGTTTCGTCAACGCCTACATTAACAGATACTGGCTATTCAGAAGATGATCCTGATTACTGTGTTGGTTTTCGTTTCTAAAGAATCATGGTCTAAACTAAATCAGTGGTCTATGTCAAAACCCGAGTAAGTCTTTTACAAACCTTTGATACATAATGTTTAGAAAATTCACTTGATCGAGAAGAACATTGACAGGTTTTTTAATAATGTTTCAGAGACTTAAAATTTGGTCCAGTGGATTTCACATATGCTTTAACAGATCGAATTTTCACCTTCAAGAGTTGGCCACGAACACCGGTACGTATTTAACCAAATACAAAAATTTATTTACTACACTTATAACCAGACATATGTATTGATCATACATTTTTCCAGGATATAGACGCCGTTATATATTTATTTCATGAGTGAACAACTTTGCGTAGGTGGAAACCAGACTGTGTTGTTTTCATGAATTGTTGTTTGGCTGTCCTAATCGAGGGTGCTACAAAAAACAGTTGGAGGGTAAGAGAAGCTTCCAATTCAATAAATGGCTCTTACATTACAGCATCGAGGAGCTTCCATCACATGGGAAAATAAACAAATTTTTCGATCTCGATGTCGACCGACTTTGTGCACGGGTCCACATGAATGGTAATCATTGGATCTCATTGTTCGTAAATTTTGTTCAAAGAATTGTTGAATTCTTCGATTGTATAGGCTTTAAATATAAAAAGGTGGTGGAAGCATTCTCAATTCTCATTCTTCGGCTAGTGAAGGAAGTGCAGTCTCCTAAAAATAGGAAACATTTGAATGTTAAACCGTATTCTCAGATGAAGTGGGGTAGTAATAAGAGGGTATATGATTGTGGAGTGTATGCTTTGAAACACATTGAGTGCCACACACTCAGGCTAGATCTGTCGATGATAACATTAATGCGGCTCATATGAAGATAGCATGTGATTTTGTGAAGCTGTAAACAATCCCATCTTCATTGACCACTTGTCTAGATATGAATCAATCCCATGAGAAACTGAGATGTTGGTAGACCTTGATCCACAGCTTTGAGCAACTATTTGTTTTGGTTTATTTTTTTTTTCTTATTTCTCAAATGACAAGTATAACATTATTTGTTTTTTATTCTTTTATTTCTTCATTGTTAGAGCAAAAACATCGTATATAGTTCGCTATGACATTCTTATATAAAATCAATATAACAGAAAATTATAATGGAGAACGAGAACATGTTGAATATGAAGAGAAATCTTTATATTATTAAAACATAACTCATTTCACCAATTACATGGTGACATATGGCAACGCAACAAAAACAAAAATAAAGTAAAAAATAAAAAGCCCTCAATCTAAAAAACCAATATTTTCTCATCAAAAACCCACGATTCCACGATTTTTGAAACAGTTTTCCCTCCTCTATCATAAAAATGTAATTGATCTTGCCTTGCCTTGCTCTCTCTCGTGTATAACTTCCGAGCACTAAAGCTATCTTCTAATCTTCACGCACATCAAAGCAGGAAAATAAAACAAAAATCAAAACTCATGCATTTCTTATTTTCTCTCTTTTAAACTTCTGTATTCTCATCATTTCTCTCTCTAAACCTCTTCTTTGGCTCTCATGGCTGTCGATGCTCACCATCTGCTTCTCTCTCTTGCTCAACTCTTCTCCAACAGGTTAATAACAATCTCTACTCGATCTGATGATTTTTGGTTTTTTTTTGGGTCTGAGTCTTTGGAGTTTTCTTTGTGGTATTGATGATTCTCAAGTTTATTAATACTACAGAGAATCAACTGAATCAACGATGAATTACAGCACCACCATGAAACCAACAAATGGCGGTTTCTCGGTGACGGACGATTCGCCTCCTTTTCTTCATCAGGAGAACCATAGGAGACATCGAAATCTCTCTACATGTAAGTCTTTCTAAAGAAACCGGTTCCTTATGCTAATTAAAGTTGAAACGTGGGGAGAACCATTATGTTTTACTTTTTTTCTCACTGTTTGTTCTTCAAATAAATCCATTTTTATTTTTTTTTGGTCAAAACATAGATCCATTTTTATAAGAGTATGTTTAATAGTTTAACAACTCTGATGTATATCTTATCATTTATGTCATTTAGATTGAAATGGTATAATAGTAAAGAACGCCTATTTGTAAAACTAATGAGTAAAGTAATTTTGATAACTTAATTATATTTTTCCATGGTAATGTATTGATTTTAGTTCTTGATTTGCTATCATAGAATGATCTTTTTTCTGACATGCTGGTTTTTTTATTGTTATAATTCAATTTGTAGGATTGTTTGAAGAGCAAGATAGAAATAAATAAAACAACAAAGCAACTTAGATCAATGTAAATTCTTTTTAAAAAATCTAACTTAATTTTCATATGTTTCTGGTTAATCAAAGATAAGTGTGTTGATTTTCTTATGTATCATCTCATATTAATAAGTGAAAGTTATTTTATAATGTAATTTTATTTATAAAGTTTTTTTGGTGCATAGCACGAGAGATCTCCTTTATATAAAAGGAGCTGATTTCCTACCTTCTTAGGGCCTCCACGTCAGCAAAAAAATACAGAAAAATAATCAGCCAATTAGAATATCAATCTCCTACACGTCACTTTTTAATCCTGTAAGCTAAAAAACTCCACGTCCACACCAAAGAAAGAAGAATACAGGTAAGCCCAATAACGAAGCCCACAATAGATGGACAAACGAGCCCAAACCAAAAACATAAGAGGAATACAGCGAACCCCAATAACAAAGTCCACAACAGATTGAGAAACCAGCCCAAACCAAAAACCTAATTCATCTGCAATTGTCTTCTACCTTCTTTGTCGTTCTGCGCATCCATAATCTCAAATTACAGAAAGAAAATCAACCCAGTAACGATTCCCCTCCCTCCCATTTGAAATTCAACAACTCCAGAAACGATTCCTCTCCCTCCCACAAACCACGATCTCCTATTGTAATTAACCACGATGTGGAATCTGAAACACAACCTCTTTCTAATAAATTCTGAAACGCCACCGCACCTCAATGTTCTTTATATAGTCTTCGCTCATTTCGACGAAAGAACACCGAAATTGGCCGCACACAGCATATATCTACTATCACAGCTATGGCAGCCTCTGCTTCAAAAGTCCCCGCACCGGTCCACCGAAAACTGCTCTTCAATGACGTTGAATCCGGTCTAAGCAAGGACGAACTCGCTTTCAGAGTCATCCACCTCTGGGAAGCTAGAAACCCTACAAAAGGTGGCTTGCTCATCGGACTGGAGCTGCTACTGATTGACGAACAGGTATGGTCTATTTTATGAATACATAACACTGTTACCACTCTCTTAGTTTGATTATATCTACGGTCGTCGGTCGTCTCCATCTCCTGTTGTCATTTCCCCCCCCCCCCAAATTATAGCTAATCAAAGAACGCCATCCTGATCTCCATACACTAACTCATAATTGTTATTTTTAAAACTGACCCAGGGAACCATCATTCAAGGATTCATTGCACCCAACAGAATTGCACGCTATGAAGGCAAACTCAAACCAAACATCATCTACAGGCTCACCAATTTCTTTGCTACTCCTAACAAAACAATGTTCAGAGTTACAGACCACAAATTCACAATCTGCTTCACCGACTTAAGCATCCTCACTCAGAACTATCTAACCTAATGCCTTCACATCATCTCCTATAGCAATATGATGACCATCTTGACATGTGCAGATATTATCGGTCACCTAAAGCTCATTAATGGCCAGAATCTTCACGACCACCCAGTTTTAGAATCTGAAGGCAACCAAAAGAGGGGAGTATCAGTCCACCTGCAGCCTAGAGAGTAATCTAATTACTATACCCTTCTTGCCATCCAAACCTCTAATATGTAGTACAAATCTATGAACAACAAATTTAACACATCTATACATAACTAACAACTTACCAACACGTAGATATCTAACTTGTTCCACATGCATAATTATTCTTTATTATTACCTTATTCAACATGCATAATAATTATTTTCCCGTATCTCCAAAAGAAAGATAGATTCCACCTTATCTGAAGTCTCAGTCCAAGTCGTCTTCTTAATTTTCAGAAACTATTTTATTGACATGTATTTTATGGTGCTATATATTTATGTGCAGAGGACCAATTGTCAACATCTACCTCTGGGACAACACTGCCGTTGAGTTCTGCAAGAAACTTCAAGCAAGCGAAACACCTCCTGTAGTATGCTCCTGTAGTATGCTCCAGTTTCGCCGAGCAGACCACTGAATACCTAACTTGGTATGCTCCAGTTATCCCTAATTTTAAGTATCTCCGTCCACTTTCAAATTTACTATAACACTGACTACAATTCCAGGCTACGTGATAATGCTAGCAACGTCAGTGTTAATGCATCTGAGATCACCAAGGTTGAAACTCTCACTATTGGTGAAATTTTCCAGTTCCTGCAAAAAAACCAGCCCAGGTATTTTCACATCTCGGACTACCAACAATTAGTTTAATTAGAAAAGAATAGACGTTAGTTATTAATCCGTCCTCACCAATGTTAATAGTGTAAAGCAAACACCACATTCATATTTAATATCTCCCAGGATCTCAAATGTCTATTCAGTTTTAAACAACCACTAGACCACTAAGTCTTTGAGGGTTTATAGATTCCACTCTTTACATTCTGACATGGCAGCATCACTCGGCTACAACAAGCTCACCAATGCCGTACTTTCATACTAACTTCTCCTCATTTAAATATAACAGAAGGCAAACTTCCATTGCACAGCAACCATTGATGCTGTGGAACAACTTAAAAGCTGGTACTACATTGCCTGCACTACATGCAACACAAAAGCAATCCGAGGACCTACTTCATTAGTGTGCAACAAATGCAACAACCACAATGCTATTGGAGTAATCAAGTACGTACAGCAGATTCTCACTTACTATAATTTGTTAAATGTAATCAAATTGCTATTTTGACACAGGTATCGGGTCGAGATATCCGTCTCCGACAATAACAACAAAGCCACGTTTGTTCTCCTCGATGATGCTGGAACTCAGCTAATCGGGAGAAAAGCTGCAGAGATAGTTGAAGACTACGTCGACGTAAGTAACTACATTTCTTAATCCAAAGTAAATAAAAAACATCACCAGACTGCATCTAGCTCATTTTTTGCAGGCTGTTGGGGTTGGCGGTGCTGGAGATAACATACCACTCCCAGAAAGCTTGAATGATGCAATTGCCAAGACATACATATTCAAGGTGAAAGTGGATGAATACAACTTTAGTGCTGCTAGGCAAACTATCACTGTGACTAAGATTGTCCAGCCAGCTGATCTCCCCAAAATGCCTTCACCAAATACAAGAGCGGAGCTTGAAGACAAAAACAGCGACACACTGCCACAGACTAAGAGCACTAAGTGGGACCTCCAGATGGGTGACATGGCAACTAGCACCAACACCATTGCCTCCAGCGAAGAGAAAACACAAGGGAAGAACAAAAAGACTAGCCTTGGCAGTGAAGAAACCGATGAAAACAAGCGTCCCCGGAAGAATACTAAATACTAGGAACCAACACCATAAATTCCCAAAAATAATTAAGTGCACTTTCTTATAGTTATATTAATCTGAATATCAATGTCCGCACAGGGCCTGTTTTCTTCTTCTCCTTCAGTTATATATCGATTTGCAATTTATTTTTTAAAATTTAGAGTAATTATATGAATTTAAACTAACGATTACAACTCTCTATCACTTTTTATGATGGATGTATATCAATCTGCGTTCCATGATTTTTATAAAAGGTTTCCCATCATGATTGCAGGAAATATATTTAATATATAGCTAATCCGATTTTGATTTATCAATTATTATTTTAAACGTTTGTATCTGTTTAAACCATTACGAGAGCGTCAAGTTAGGGATCCACTAACTTAAATATTAAATTCCTTAATAAATTTAGTCACCAGAAGAACGAAACGTATTACCATTCCAACATTATCTCTGTCATTCTTTTTTGAAAAAGGATCCCAAATATCACCCTATAGACAGCACCAATCATTGATTTGGAGATTCACTTTCAATACACGTTGACTAAAAACGTTAAAAAATATTTAAATGTATTATACCATAAATCAGGCAATACACACCTATTAAACTGAACACAAATCCTATGAAAACAACCCCATAAAAAAATTAAAAAACACTACTACACAGACCTCCAAATAAACACCAGATTTCAGCATATACAAGAACACTATCTTTGAAGACTACATCATCTACACATTCACCACCTCCTACCAAAAACAACCGGTGAATGAGGAGGGAAAGAAATACGTTTACAAAATGAATCCAACTATATATCTGCTCCACATGATTTCCACAACAAAAACTAATGATATGTATTGGCAAACTACCAGAAGGTGACAACTAAGCAGAGAGAGGACAAATTTCACAGCCATGCGGAAGCCAGAGAACCCGAAAACTAGAGGTCGACTATTAAACTTTTTACATGTATGAAATAAGGAAAACCAAACCTCAATTCCTATTCTGAACTACAGATACATCAACCAACTTAACACAACCACGGAGAAGAGGCCGCCCCCGGGATCTCAAAACAAGTCCGACAAACAAAATATTAGTACTCCAGGTCCCGAAGTAGATCCTCCACCACTTCAGCACCACCATGTTTTCGAAAATATTTCTCACCATTTTCTTAAAGCTTCATCTGATGATAATATAATAATATTAATTTTCAGCATTTTCTTTTTTTTTCAAATAACTATATTTCGACTTCTAAATTATGTTTGCATAAGTTACATTAATTTAATACACTACTACTCACCGTCACAGTTTAGAAAAAATATATATATCTGCATTTCATGCATTTCGAGGAGATTACCTTTCATGTTTCAATAATCAATTAATGTAGCCAATCTTATATGGAATGGATTATTCGAATTTTTAAAAATTTGTAAATGTGGAAATCAATAGGTAAGCACTAAGTAAGGAATTGGAATACTTAATTATTTATATACTTAAAGAAATTTTCGATACAGAAGACATAGACAGATTTTGATTTCACAACTATTTTTAAGCGTTATCAACTTATAAAACTGGATATGATGATATAAGAAAGAATCTAAGGATTTAGGGAGATCCACAAAATCATGAATTTTTGGGCCAGCAAGAAAGACCAAATTTTTAACCCCTAAAGTGTGAATATATAATGTCCCACATCGACAAAATTACAAAAATTAGAAGGAAAAATTACACTATAAATAAAAGTCATTATCCCCTAATTTGTCTCATACCACATGAGAGGTTACAATTGGGCTTCATTATAGTTCAATATTTTCTAAAAAAAAACATTATAAACGTTCAAAACTGCTTATAAGATTTTAAAAAAAAACCGATTTTAAGCTTGAAAAAATCGATCTTCTTTTTTTAGGAAAAATCGATCTTATGCTTAAACAAAATTGATTCTCGGCAGAAAAGATCAATTAAGGGCATTATTTTCAACTCTAACGGCGTTCAAAGTTACATCATCTACAACACCTTCTCAAAAAATAAGGTCAAAGAGGAGGATAAAGTGTTTGTTTATGGGTGTACAAATATAGTATTCTCTGGTCGCATGTTTGTCCAAAAACCATACTAATACTACTGATATGTCTTCCCAAACAAACAGGTTGTAACAATTAATCACAGTGAGGATCAAATCCACTGCCATGCGTAAACCACATCATCATAACCACAAACAGGAAACTAAAGGTGAATTCAGTCAACCTCTTATAGATATCAAAAAAGACACCCCAACTTTCCATTCATATTTTTTGAATTTCAGATCCATCAAATGACTTACCACAAACGCGGAGAAGAGGACGGCCACCTGGTTCTCGAAACAAAACACACACAGAAAATATTAATACTGCAGGTAAGTCCCCCAAAATTGCATGGTGGAAGATAGTGGAGAATCTTAAAAAAAAAATAGTTGGGGGCATAATTTAATAAGCAAAAAAAAATAAAAAAGTTGGGGGCGAATCGCCTTTTATAGTTAATATATATATATATTTTTGTTTGAAAGGTAATATTATATTTTATTTTCATTAAAATAAACTGAAAACATAATATGGCTAAGAAAACTTCACAAACAAAAGAACTACTATAAATAAAGTGTAAGAAACTTAATTAAAGAGTTCTTCACACATTGGTTTCTTGCAAGATGTGATTCAATTAGTATGTAAACGTTGGTTACAACTTACAATCTTTTAGAAGAAAATTCCGCAAACAAAATTGAAATCGGTTTTGAACGAGAAATCTATCACATATATAGAAGACGACATCAATTAAAACCACAATGCAAAAGAATACACCATTTCTTATACGCACAACACAAATACATGAAACTAACATCTACAACATCCTTTCAACAGAATCCTCAAGAGCCGGTAATCAACCACGGAAACGAAGACGCCCTTCAGGATCATGCAATCAACCTAAAGGTATTTAACGCAACATTGGCTGAGTCAACTCTTAAAGTCTAATCGGTACAGAAAAAAACCCAATATTCAATCTTATTTATGCCAAATTAAAAAATGTACAACCACAATCACCCGAAACTGAATGGATTCTTAAATTAAAAACAGATCGTACTCATAATATAGATTACAAATTCAAATTTTACACAGGCCAAGTGAGAAGCATATGTGAAGGACCCCCATCTGCATCAAACCTATACAATTGTAAGTACTTCTTCGTAGTATAATTAAGCTACATACAATACGCAAATATCTATTTAATATATAAGTCAACATTTCAATACCTTATTTAATCAAAAATATATACAACTCTTTCAGGTGGATGTGATATATGTGCTCTCTATGGTATAATACAATTACCTTCAAATCTACAACCACATTAAATATAAAAATTAGAGAATAACAATACCTTATCTTCTGTAGTTCGACGCAAAAACGCACGAGCAATGAGAAAAGCAATTCTACTATCTAAACGTGCAACTCAAGAGCTAAAAGGTATCTCCAATAATTTAATACAATTATTTCCAAGCTATATTAACACATTCTCTTAAAAAAAATGTTAACAGCTTCAACTATGACGTCTATGACATCAGAACGCCAGAGATCAAATAACAGCTCCAAAGGTACTATATTACATCAAATAATATTTAAATTATGAAAGAGTATTACAAAAGATTTTAGAGTGGTGGGAAATTATTATTAATATATGTTTCTCGCTCAGAAATGAATTATTAACAATACGTCTGGAAAAAATTATTATATTATTAACAATAACTAACAGAAAAAATCATAAAACACAGCTACCACTTCAAAGAACAAGGAAAACAACCTTCTGGACTGTACATTTTGTAGTGCGTTAGTTTGGGCCTCGGAAAGCACAGGAAGAGATCGAAAAACCGGAGCTCTTACGTACACAATTTGTTGCAACCAAGGAAAAATAAAACTTCCGCCAGTAAAACAACCATCACCTGTTCTTGAAGACCTATTAAACTGTGCCTGGTTTCGAGAAGCAATTCGAATATACAACGCTGTTTTGGCATTCACATCCATTGGAGCGAAAATTGATTACAGTGTCGTATATAGACCAGGCCCATTCACATTTAGAATTCAAGGTCAAAACTATCACCGCATAGGCTCCCTTCTGCCAACGCCAGGTCAACCACCCAAATACCTCCAGCTTTACATCTTTGACACTAAAAATGAAGTCAGGAACCGCATAAACGCAGTAACCCAAAATGCAACAGATGGAAAACTAGATGAGGCAACAGTAACCCATCTAATTCAGATGATCGATGCACACAATTGTCTTGCCAAGATTTTTCGGAGAGCACGTGATATCTTCGAGTCTAACAGCGAAGAAGAATTCACAATCCGATTAATCTCACAGAAAGGAAAAGGAAAGCAATATGACACACCCGAAACCAATGAGGTCGCCGGTCTAATTGTTGGTGACATGTCTACTACCATTGGGGAAAGAGATGTCATCCTGCAGTTGCAATCAGGTCATCTACAAGAAATCAGAGATGATCACCCACTGTATATGAGCTTGCAATACCTGCTACTATTTCCTTATGGTGAGTATGGATTCCACACAGAAATACCTATGAAAGTGGATGACGTAAACCCAAGAAAAAGAGAGTTCTTGAGCATTTGTCAGTTTTACGCTTATCAAATCCAGACACGTTTGAAAGAAGGAATGACAATAGTAAAGGGAGGTCGCCTTCTTCATCAATACGTGGTAGATGCATATACTGCTATTGAACAAGAAAGACTTCGCTGGGCCAGAAACAATCAAGCCCAACTCAGAGCTGATCTTTACAATAATGTATGTGATGTTGTAGAAAAAGGTGACACAGATGCCAAAAAATAGGAAAACGATTTATCTTGCCACCAAGTTTTACTGGGGGACCTCGCTATCTGGTTGAAAAGTATCATGACGCAATGGCAATCTGTAGACAATATGGAAATCCAGATTTGTTTATCACAATGACAGCTAATCCAAATTGGAAAGAGATAAAACACCATCTAGCAGCATATGGTGGTGCATCTCCCAATGATAGACCTGATATTCAGTGTCGCGTCTTCAAAATGAAGTTAGACGAGCTGTTGGAAAATTTAAAGAAAGGAACTTTCTTCAAACCATACACTGCTGGTATGCTGGCAATTCTAATAGCACAACATTCTTTATTTATATATATATATATATATATATATATATATTATATATAATCATAATAAATGATACATAATTATATAAAAGACATTGCCAATGGAACTAAAAACATTTCCTAACTTATTCTATATATTTTCCAGTTATCCACAGAATCGAATTCCAAAAAAGAGGTCTCCCACACGCTCATATACTAATGTGGTTTGGAAAGTCAACTAAAACACCAAAACCTGAAGATGTTGATGCAATAATTTCGGCTGAACTCCCCTCTAAAGATAAAGATCCAGAAGGGTATGATCTGGTAGCAAAATACATGATGCATGGTCTGTGTGGATTAGACAGACCTCGATCCCCATGCATGGAGAAACAGATTTGTACCAAAAAGTTTCCACGCCCTTATACTAATCATACAACGATCGACAAATCAGGATACATAATTTACCGTCGACGTCAATTTGATGAAGATTATGTCATGAAAGAGGGCACGAGGTTGGATAATAAATATGTTATCCCGCATAACATGGCTATTCTGAAAAAGTTTAAGGCACACATTAATGTTGAGTGGTGCAACAGAACAACTGCAATAAAGTACCTCTTCAAATACATTACTAAAGGAGTTGATAAGGCCACTGTAGTAATTGAGAAGGGAAATGATTCCGGTTCAAGTGTCGAGGGAAAAAGTACAACCATGAAACCGAGAAATGAGATACAAGAGTACCTAGATTGCCGGTACTTATCAGCACACGAAGCTATGTGGAGAACCTTTGGTTACCACATACACAAACGAAAGCCTTCCGTCCAAAAATTAATCATCCATTTGCCTGGCCAACAAAATGTCACCTACAAAGACACAGACAATCTAGATAATGTTCTGCAGAGACCGGGAATTGATCAAACTATGCTCACAGAGTATTTTGAACTAAACAAAAGATCAGAAAAGGCCCAAAATCGGACATATGTTCAAATACCAGAACATTTTGTGTGGGATCAAGCATTGAAGATATGGACCGAGCTGAAAAAAGGAGAAGCCATTAGCCGATTAGTTACAATACATCCAAACTCAGGTGATCTATACTACTTAAGGATAATACTTAATGAGGTTAAAGGAGCACAAAGTTTTGAAGAACTACGAATAGTTAACAACTGCCTACATCTTGATTACAAAGCGGCTTGCTATGCAAAAGGATTGCTGGACAATGACAAAGAATGGCATGCTGCAATGGAAGAAACAAATACTTGGGCAACACCGTTTCAACTACGACAGATGTTTGTAACACTGCTCATATATTGCGAGGTTGGTAACCCTAAAGAACTCTGGAAGCGTTGTTGGAAAACATTAAGCGAGGACATCACATATAGGAAACAAGCTGTTTTCACACATAACAACCTAAACTTAGGTGATGTTGAGCTAGAGCAATACACATTGATAGAGGTGGAAAAGATTTTACATCAGCACTAACGGACATTAAAAGAGTTTACAGGGATGCCCCAACCAGATCCAAACCTATTGAAAGAAGTAGGGAACACTCTATGGAAAGAAGAAATGAAATACAGTACCGCAGAACAGAATGACGAACATGTAGCCCTATTTAAACAGCTTAACCCAGAACAGAGAACAATATATGATGCAGTGATGGATTCAATTGAAAATCATCGTGGTAAGCTATTCTTCGTTTATGGACCTGGCGGGACAGGGAAAACATTTCTATATAGGACCATTATTTCAAAGATACGATCAACAAAAGGGATTGTATTGCCAGTGGCATCTTCAGGGATTGCAGCACTGCTCCTATCTGGTGGTAGAACGGCCCATTCACGGTTCAAGATTCCATTTGACGTTACTGGACAATCGGTGTGCCATATAATGCCAGGTACAATGCTTGCAGAACTAATCAAGAAAACTGATCTTATCATTTGGGATGAAGCACCAATGGCACATAGACACACTTTTGAGGCTTTAGACAGAACTTTGAAAGATATAATGGGTCATGACAATCCAGAAGCGAAGGAACAAACATTCGGAGGGAAAACAGTTCTTCTAGGAGGAGATTTCAGGCAGATATTACCAGTTATACCACAAGGTACTCGGGCAGACACGGTTATGGCATCTATTAGCGAATCATATCTGTGGGAGTCTTGCCAAAAGTATATTTTGAAGAAAAATATGAGACTTCAAGATTCAGATGGTGAATTTGCTAATTGGGTACTAAGAGTTGGGGACGGAGACGCCCCTACAATTCAAACCGATCATGACATTTCAGATGATGGGCAGATGGTGGTGGTTGACAACCATTTTTTAAGGGTATCCAGTGGAAACACACTTAAAGAAATCATTGACGCAGCATATGGCAATCATATTGTCTCGAAAACAAACAAAGAATACTACACAGAAAGAGCCATACTCACTCCATGAAATGAGACGGTTGATGAAATCAATAGATACATGATATCGCAAGTACAAGGGGAGTGCAAGGAGTATCTGAGTTTGGATAGCTTTGGCATAACAGATACAAAATCCCCACAGAACGAAACATTGTATGCTGTAGAATATCTAAACTCATTAGAGTTTCCTGGTTTGCCATCACATAAGATTTCTTTAAAAATTGGCGTACCTATCATGCTGCTGAGGAATATCAATCAAAAGGAAGGTTTGTGTAATGGAACAAGGCTTATCATAACATATATATGGGTGATCGAGTTATTGAGGGTGAAATAGTAACTGGGAGTCATGTTGGTAAGAGAGTATTGCTACCAAGAATTATTTTATCCCCACCAGACACAAGGCACCCATTCACTCTAAGAAGAAGGCAATTCCCAATAAGAATCTGCTATGCTATGACGATCAATAAAAGCTAAGGACAAAGCTTAAAATCAGTTCTGTTATACTTACCCAAACCGGTGTTCACTCATGGGCAATTATATGTTGCTCTGTCAAGAGTAACAACAAAGAAAGGGCTAACCATCGTACAAAAAGAAGGTTCACCAAAAGATGCCGTTAAAAACATTGTATACAAGGAAATATACAATGGTCTCACAACCTAACAAGGTAAGTCAGTGAAACACCCAACCAAACAAAAAAAAAATCCATTATTTTTTTCCCAAACAGCAAATGACGATATATTCTTATACAAATCTTACTAACACTTAAAAATTTATTATGCCCAACGATTAGGAAGAAAGAGATGACAAAGACATTGCTGTTTGCATTGCTCATCTTCAGCAAACATTACACTGGTTAGAATTTTCTATTTAGTCTTCTATATAAATTACTTATGATATTTGTTTATTCATTTAACTTACATCTCTATCATAGAAAAGAAATAACAGGAAAACAACGTTCGGCAAATGAGTGATTCTATGTCATCTTTAAAAGGATAGTCAAACTATTTAATACTTAATGTAAGTTTTTAATTCTCATCCAATACCAACATTAATAAATTAGAACATGAATAAAACTAAAACCGTGATTTTTCTATACAGGTAGCTTCATGCGGATAACACCTTCCAAACCAGGAGTTCCTGAACCAGTTCTTACAACATTTTAACTACTTCTTCTCTTTTACGTTTAGTTGTATCAAATTACAACCAGTTTATTATACTATACACTTTCTCATCAGTTATTTATAGACGTTGGATATGGAATTTCACCATTGAACTAACCATTTCGGTTTTTGATATTTTTCTAATTTGTCAACTGTCCATTTTAATTTGCGTTAAATTTAAATACAATGAAAAATTTATACGTAACCCAAATTGCTCAAACAAAAAATGAAGATAAAATTACTAAAGGGAAAACAGCAGCTACATTCAACTACCGTAACAAGACTTTTATTTGATGAAGCGGTGAACATTTTCTGATAGAAATGAAAAAAGGGAAAATTATATCATTATGCCGCAGATGATGTAATGAATCTAATTACTAAACTAAACCTCCATTGTTATAACAACCTGTTATGTTATAGACAAAAACATAGACATGGACAAATAAAATAATATATCAAAAAATATTAAACATATTTACAAACAAAAATAAAATAAAATAAAAAATCAATACGAAACAACCCGGGGCAATGCCTAGTAATACTAGTAGTAAATAAATCTTGACAAACCTATCGTTATACCATTCTTGCAAAAAAAATTTTCAATACACTTAAAAGTATTTTATATGTACATAATTATCGATTACCATCCTAGTATTACCGGTTTTCCTTTAACACTACATTAGTATCGGTTTCTGGTTCGAATCCCACGCTGGACCGAGATCTGTTTTTTGTTAAAAGAATTTTAATACACTTAAAAGTATTTTATCTGTCCATAATTATTGATTACCACCCTAGCATTGCTGGTTTCCCTTTAACACTACATTAGTATCGGTCCTGGGTTTGAATCCCACATTGGACCGGGAACGTCTTTTTATAAAAAAAAAGTGATCTTTAAATGAAAATTTTACACGAGTAAGCTTCTTCGATCTCTTTATGAACCCAGCTAATTTTGTGAAACCTATTCGTTTATCCATATAAAAACATATTTGAAGTCAATTTCACCTCATTTTTCTCACCCACAAAGGTAAGTCGTGTCGTTTTGGGGATTTTAACACCAGCAAATGTATACTTCAATTTGATTACTGATTGAACACATTCTGCGATTTGTCTAATTTTGATTTGTAGGCGATGAGCAATGTTTCCTCAGGTTCATCATCGAGATCCGTATGAGGTATCTTGAGAAGATGTGTTTGTGGAGAGAACATCGTGTTACATGTATCAACAACAGATAAAAGTCCTAATCAAAAGTTTTACAAATGATTGGTCTCAAAACAAGGTGACTACGGTCATGTTTTCAATTGGGCCAAAGAAGCACGGTTGGAAAATTTTGATATCCTATCCGAGAATCAGTTGATGTTATTTAAGGACATGAAGAATATCGTCATTGCAGAGAATACTATAATGGAGAAAGTTCAGAAGATTGTGGAGAAGAATCAGAAGTTGAAGCATCAATTAGAAGGTCTCAAGGCATCAGCGAGAAAAATAGTTTTAAGGTCCACCGGGGGTGAGAGTCGGGCAGGTAAAACATATGTTTCCCGCGGGTGAGAGTCTTCCGGGACTGGTGAACTGGGTCAACTTGTTCTCCATGTATCTTTTGATTGCACCGTTGGATCTTTTTGATGTAAAGTGCTATGGAAATCTGGTTGTATCCTCTTGATTGTCTCCAAATTTGAGCTGGATCGGACGGTGAGAAAGTCTTCATTTGAAGCTGAACTTCTGACGGTCTGACTATGAGATAAAAATGTTGATTTCTTCTATTTTGCCATCATATTCTCTAAGTTTCCTGAAAAGAGCCATGAAACCACAAATACATGGAAATCATAATAAAATTTCCTAAAACAAAGTAAAACCTTAGAAAAAGCGTTTGAAATCAATGGTGAAAAGTAGTCAAAATCAGGTGTTATCACACATGTCCCACTCTTGTGTCATTCCATATCACAATGACTGCACTTATATTTTTTAGTCCTTTGTAAATCCTGTGAATTACGTATCACGTCTTCAACCGTCTCATATCTTCGTGTTTCTGGTGCAATAACTTTGGAATTTTCAACGTCCAATGGGACCATCCATGCATCCTCAGGAACGCTTATTGGATTAAATTTTTTTTTCGTAAGGCGTTCTCCATACAGCAGTGATATACCTATAATTCAATGTATTCTCAGATGAGGACCCAAAATGAAAATCAGATTGTTAGAGTATACCTTTCATCAGTAAGTGTGTGTAGTTCCTTGTTCACCAAAAAAGCAACTTTGATTGCATGTCTGCAAGGATTTTTAAAAAGTTGTACTTACCACAAGTACACATCCTTCGCTCCAGGTCAACTAGACAATCGAATTATCTCCTTTAACCGTAAATCGATTCAAACATTAAATGGTTGAACAATCAAAATTGTCTCCCTTTTCAATCCTCTTGTCAATTTTTTTCTCGATCTCAATGGTTAAAGGGGCATTATGCTTTGAGATTAGTCTTCTTTGATCATAAAATCATTGCGTTAACATTTCTCTGATACTGTCCAACAAAGGAATTACAAGAAACTCTTTGGGTGATAGCAAAACAGAATTTAGCGATTCAGCTGGGTTAGTGGTTCGAATATCATATCTAAATCCAGGAAATTTACAGTGCGCTCACTTTTCCACATCAGCGTCCAGCAAATATTTTCTAACAAGCAGACTAATATTGAAAATATCGTTGAATCTCCTCTCAAATTCAGCAACCCTATATTCTTTAGACGCTTTTGCATTTAACCAATCAAACCTTTTGTCTTGAAATGGGTTACCACATTATTCAACAAATGATGTATGCAAATTCCATGTGAAAAGTGCGGGTAAACTTTAGCTAGTGTTTTAGTAACGGACAAATTCCTATCTGACACAAAAGCTCAACCTTGTCCAGCACCAATAACGACTAAAAGTTGCCTGAAAAACCACTCCCAAGATCGATCAATCTCTGAATCAATAACCTCAAATGCTATTGGATACAAGATGGAGTTACCAACTAAAGCTGTAGCAACAAGCAGCACACTTTTGTATTTTCTTTTCAAAAACGTACGATCAACAACAATAACCCTACGCATGGCTCTATAGAAACCTCTAACTGACTGACCAAAAGAAATAAATAGATATTTGAATCTACTATCAGAATCAGTTTTGAATTGAGTATGCGTACACGGATTACCTTCTTTCAACATGTGCAAATATTTGAGAAGTTTACCATAACATTTCTCAGGAATTCCTCTAGCAACATTAACTGCATACTCACGCGAATCCCAAGCATGTGTGTAAGAGATATCGCATCCATGCTCACTTCGCATAATTTGCATGATTTCTCATGGTTTTGGTCCTTATTTAACACATTCATACCTATGCGAAGTCTGATTGTTTTCGCTGAAGCTTTCCTACCGATATTTTTTTATTTGAAGGAGCATATGTATGCGCAGCCACATACTTGTTGATTTTGAAATAGGTTGAGCCCTCTAAATATTCTGCATGAACACTCCATCTGCACACTATCTTTGCAGCAAATTGACCAGAATTTTATTGCAGATTGCTTCACATAATAATCAAAGTTATGCTTCATTGCGCATGTTTCCAGAGTTGTCTTCATATAGTTTTTGCTTTTAAAAAGTTTCTCCTTCTTGACAGAATCTACCAACCAACACGGAGATTCTGTGTGACTTTCTTCTTTGTCTTCACCAAGCAAGATATCGTCACCATCCTCGCCAACACCTTCAAAGTTACGAGCACTTGTTGTGAAGTTATCATTTTGCTGCTCTAAAACTAACGCTACAGCCTTTTCCTGTCCTTGATCATCGCTTACTCTACTGCCTGAGTCAGATGGCTCTTTATTCAAATCAATGTTGACAAGTTTGGTTCTTATAGCAGATGCAGATGTAAGTGTCACACATAGTCGGATAGAAGGATTTTCCTTTGCATATCCAACAAAAATTTTTATTTGCCGATCATTTGTAATAATGACTAGCGGAAACCCTGATTTATCAGTGCAATCACTAGGTAGATAACTGATCTTAACATGCTGATCGACGATTCCATAGTCCTCCAACACCATCATTTTTAAATCCTCAAAACTGGTACTTGATTCCAAAGTTAGTAATCTTCCTCCTTTCTCTTCATCGATAATAAAATTCCACTCTTTCGTCATACCCGATTTCCAGAGACCACATGTTACGTAGGTATATAACATATTTTAAGGAGATTAGCAAAAAAAAAAAAGAAGTAAAAACTGTGAAAAAAACGTGAAAGAAGGTGTGCTGAAGGAGGAGAAAAACGTGAAGGAAGTGGAGAAGAAATGTAGCCAAAAGTCATTTACCTAAAAAAACATTTTTAAAAAATTAGGAAATTAAATAATTTGAAAAGAAAAAATATATACATCTGTTGATTTTAGACACCTGATCCTATATTTTTGGAGATTTTGTTAACCGCTTTGTAGAATAAGTATTCTACAATTGTAGAACACAGATTTAATTGTAAAAATATAATTCCGCTAAGTTGTAGAAAAATGAACAGGTTATAGAATATAGCTTTATAACTTTGTAGAATATAGAGAAAACTGTATAATCAATTCTATCTCGGAAACTGTAGAGAATATAGAGAAAACTGTAGAAAATCAATTGGCTCCAGCCACTGCTTCACTCCATTATCTCGGAAACTCAATCCGCTTTTGTGCCGGGAAGAGCTATTTCTGATAACATGATGATCACGCATTAGACTCTGCACTTCCTTAAGAGATCTAAAGCCAAAAAACATTTTTCTATGACTGTTAAGACCAATATGAGCAAAGCATACGATCGTTTCGAATGACACTTCAGGTTCAACTCGGCTTCCACCACATTTGTGTCAACTGGGTGATGCAATGCATTACAACCGTATCATACTCATATCTCATCAATGACTCGGCTCTAGGGAATGTCTTGCCTCAACGAGGAATTCGACAAGGTGATCCACTATCTTCTTACATCTTCATTTTGTGTGGAGAAGTTCTCTCCGGACTTTTCCGAACTACACAAGCTAAGGGATCCCTCTCCGGTATCAGAGTGGCGAAACAGATCCCAAGAGTGAACCATTTACTCTTTGCTGATGACATGATGTTTTTCTGACAAACATCCACCAAAGCATGTTCAACACTCAAGGAAATCTTCCGAAAATACGAAAAAAGCATCGGGCCAAGTGATCAATACGCAAAAATCAGCGATCACCTTCTCATCGAGAACTCTTCTAGAGGTTGGTGAAAGATTAAAAGCTGCACTTAGCATTGAGAAGGAGGGTGGCCAAGGAAAGTACTTAGGTATCCTGGAGTACTTTGGCCAGAGGAAAAAAGACCTCTTTACACAGATTATAGACCGAATCAGGCAAAAAGTTGTTGGGTGGTTGACACGCTTCTTATCTAATACTGGAAAGATGATAATGCTGAAATCAGTTCTCTCATCAATTCCCTCATACTTAATGTCTTGTTTCAAACTCCCCTCAAGCCTTTGTAAAATAATAAAATCAGCCATGACAAGATTCTGGTGGGATTCAAAGGTGGATAAGAAAAAGATGTGTTGGGTGGTCTGGTCCAACTCTGACAACAGCCTCTCATGGGTGGAGAAGCATCATGATAGGAAGAGATCTCCTAAAGAACAACATTGGGAAAGCTATTGGAAATAGAAAGGGCACTAAAATCTGGACTGAATCGTGGCTCTCTACCACAGCAATACGACAACCGATGGGGCCACCTACAAAGGAGACTCTTGATCTCCATGTATCTGATCTGATGCGGCCAAACTCCTCGGAGTGGGATAGCTCTTTGCTACAAGAAATACTACCGTCACATGTGGAACAAATCCTCAGCCTTAAAACAAGCAGAGAATATTTGGCTCTCAAATAAGTCTGGAATCTACACCACCAAGTCAGGCTATCACTCTGCTTTTAACGCAAGGACACAACAAGAAGCACAACAGGGGATATCACCACCCATTAACTGGAATGCCGACATATGGAATGGAAAAATCTCTCCAAAACTCTTCCCATTGGATCAAATTTACTAGCGAGAGGTCTTTCCAATTTAACAAACTGCATACACTGTGGAGAACTCGAGGCGGCGAACCACCTTCTCCTCCACTGTGAATTTTCTCGGCAAGTATGGATGCAAGCCCCTTTTAAGTTCAGCATCGACTCAAGTATGATCCTCGATCTTGTTACAGGGATAAAAGCTTCAAAAACATGGATTTGTGCACCACCGACAGGAGTTTCATCGGGCCATCTATTCCCATGGATCTGTTGGGCTATATGGGCAGCTAGAAATCATTTTCTGTTTGAAAACAGAGTCTTCTCACCGTCGGATACGATCACAAAGGCAGTCAGGGAAGCTATAAAGTGGCAAATGGCACAGATGACTGAGAAGCCTTTCTGCCAACAAGACCCTTACAGGATGGAGGAACCAACCCTGGACTCACGCCAGATCATCTGTCAAACAGGTGCGGCATGAAAAAATTCTTTAAAATATTTTGTTTCCAAAAAGTTAGTAAAAAAAACTATTTTTTCCTTTTAGAATTTTTTTCAAAATTTTTAGATTTTAAAAATATTTTTTCAATTTTTCGGAATTAATTAAAAAGGATCTATCAGTCCAAAAATGATAAAACTTAAAAAAAGTACTAAGACAATACTATGGTTTTTTGTCCTAATAAATACAATTGCCCCAACATGATTTTGTGTAATTTTCATTAGTATTGACTAATGTCTAATTGTACTTGATTTTAACTTTAAAGATTCATTTATAGAGATTTTAAAAATGTCTCCATTTATACACTACAAATACATTTATGGAGAGATTTGACTTGTATATACCCTCTAATATCTTCTATTATTATTTGACAAGGACACATTAAAAAAGATCTTTGTGTCATCTGTGATTTACAATTGTGTCATGCTGAGGTGTCAAGCTTAGAGAGCTTCTCAGAATTATATTAAAAGTAGTCTCTAATTACTAGAATAATTACAATTCTTCCATTTTAGACCAAAACAACCGTTTATATTATTTTATCTTATATTTTAATATATTATCATATACTACTATGTTTATATATTTGCATAATTCACAAATTTAATATATATACATAATATAAAGTATAATGATATTACAACTATATTTTGAGGCATGTTATTATTATCATAAATGCATTTTTAATTATATAATAATATTACAACTATTTATTAATATATTATGAATGTATTTTATATGCGTTAATAAATACAAGAATATTTGACAAAAAAATCAAAGTTCAAGAACATGTATTTGCAGATCATAATTTTTGGTGTCTTGAAAAAAAAATTTTATGATTACATATATATTTACTAGAGAGGTCCATATATAACCTGTCCAATACGTCAATTATGTCTAATATATTTAAATGATTATGCCAGTAAAATTATAGACCTTCAACTAGACATATATATTACGTTTCAGTAAAATATTTATTATATAATGATATTACAACTATTTATTAATATATTATGTATGTATTTTAATAATGTAATTTATATGCGTTAAACAAATTAGAAAAACATTTAATAAAAGAAACAAACAAAAAAGAGTAATAATATAGTTTATACCAATATAATCTATTTGTTTCACAATTTTAAGTTTTTAGTGTTCATATTTAATTTCAAACTTGAATATTGTAAAAAAAATTATAAATATCTCACTCTGTGCAAAGCACGGATTACTACCTAGATTGTATTAATTCTCCACAATTTGAGTAATTGATACCAATCCTAGACCTATCACACTATAAATTTATGGTTATATGGCTAAATACTACGAATCAATCGCAAACTTTCTTAAAACTGAAAACTACATATTTGTTTCACAAACTTAAACTTAGTCCTTTTCAAATTTTCGGGGGAAAAAAATTACTATATCTGCTTATCGACCAAAATAAAAACAATTACTATCTCAGCTAATTAAATTATTTAGTGTTAAAATATTCTAGTCAATGCCACTGAGAATTCATTATTTTTAATTTTCTTCGCTATTAAATTCTCTGTTACAACAACATTTGCTTTTATTTTTTTTTAAATAGAAATAAACACTTGTAGAAAATATGATATAGTGTTTGAATTTTGACGAGTATTGACTAATGATTAATAGTACTTGATTTTATCTTAACTCCATCTTTTCAAAAAAGGAATTTTAACTATAAAAATTCATTTATAGAGATTTTTAAAAATCTCTAAATTTCTCATACATTAAAACCTCTCCATTTATACACTACAAATACATATATAAAGAGATTTGACTAGTATATACCCTCCAATACGTGTAATGTATTTATTCTCCAAATTTTGGCTAGAATTGACACCAATCCTAGACCTGCCACACTATATAAATGTATGGTTATATGGCTAATGAATCAATCACAAACTTTCACAAAACTAAAAACTTCACAGTTGAAATTTCCATACCAATTAAACTTGAAAATGAAGAACGTTTCCCTCAAGCTTCCACTCTTGATTTTCATTTTGGTCATTACATCTAGTAAGTATTTTATATGTATTTATCTATTTATTTAAGAAAAAATGATGAAAAAAGTATCATCATACTGTATATCATTTTTTGTGCAACCATCATATATCATTTCTTAAAAATATTTTCAAATTATTTTAGTTAAAAGACAAAGATATTTAGTATATTATTACTAGAGAAACAAAATTCAACAATTTTGTTTATGCAAAAGATCTTGGAGCAGAAGCAAGAGAACCAAGTAGAGTCGAAGTTATCGCCGAAAGTTCAAATAACGCCGTCACTGCCGGGGCTATGGATCCGGCACATCCACCTTGCAAGAGAGACGTCGATTGTAGCTTTGAATGTCCTAAGGGAGGATTATGTAACGATCGCCTTGGCACATGTGACTGCTTCTAAGTACTTTAATCGCATTCTAATCTATTTTTTCAAATAAAACCTTACCCATCAAGTCTTTAGACTTTATAGTTTATATTCAAGATTAGTAAAAACCATATGCTTGAAATTTAATTTTCAAAGTTGATTCAATCCAAATAAAAACAAAACAGTTTTCAAGGTCTACACTTGAGGCCTCTCCTTGCCAATGATAATTTCTTAAACTATCAGAACACGGTACTATTTTCAAAATAAACTGCAAATTTGAGTCTTTCTTCGGACTTTATACTACTATCATTTGTAATTCAAGATTAGTTAGTACTTATAAGATTAATCAAAATAACTTGATTCAACCTAAAAATTCAACAAACAATTATCACCACTTTTTCAAGGTCTACACTTGAGGAGATCAATTTATTAGTATCTCATTTCTCCTTGTCAAAATATAAATTTCAATCTAATTAAAATCATTTGACATGAAATTAGCCACGTCCCACGTTCACGTATTTACCTTATTAGCACGATTCAATAACAATTGTGCCTAAGTTTGATACCCCTGATGATGTGGTCATCAGACAAGAGGCTGAACCAGAGCTCCATCAAACATCACACTCATGGTCCTACCAGAACACATGTGCCTTTCAATAAGCATACCGAATCAACCACAAAGATTCAGAGCATGAGATCACTTGTAAATCATTCTCAGCTCACCTAGAAGACGCCACAAAGTTGAATCAGCCGAATCAGAGTTCAAACAAAGAAGTTATTCAACTTACAAATCGGGTGATCTCCAACTTACCCGATTTGAACATGCATGTCCTAATTGGAGGTTTCCCACCAAACCAGGAGGAATTAAGCTTCGAACCGACTTGTTTTAGAATCTTGTTTCATCAGAGAATATGTGAAAATTGGAATCATACCAAAATCGGCTTTGGTTGGGAAGTTATTCAATTTCTAAACCAAACCATTCTCGACTTACCTTATTTGGAACCTTCCGAATTTGGGAGACTTCAAACGTATCTCTGGCGTCCAGGAGTGTTTAAAGTACATCTAGAGGCTCCTAATGATTTTATCACGTGCACCAGCAAGCATTGGATCAGGCGGATTCAATCTCTCTCACCCATACACGAAGACCTTCCATATTTGGTACCAAAAGCATTAAACAACATTGACCAACGACTCTCGATTTGATGCAAAGGAAGAGAGTTATTAGAATACTAACAAGTCATGAAATCATTCAGAAGCTGTCCAGATACAAGGAACCTCATGTTTTCCTTGTTTGGCCAAAAATTAGGTTTTAATGACTCTTATCAATCAAACCTTTGGGTTTTAATGACTTTTTCTTTTTGTAAAAACGTGTGAGACTTCTTTATAAGCTCACTCATTTCATTTGTAATAGACAGACTTGAAAATGAATTGAAATGAAACTTGTGTTTCCCCTTAAAGCTTTGTGTTTTCTCTCTCTTTAACACTTATGTTAGATTCCTTGTGTTCTTGAGTGTTTGTTCTTTCTTGTGTGTGATATTCACATAAGTTTGAGCATTGTATCAGAGACTTACCATTCCTCTGTATCATACATTCATTCCGCCAGCATTCCATTAAACGATCCTACACGAAAGGGTAACCGCCTGCGTGTCAGATCACTTCATCATCGACCATCACTTGACCAAAAGAAAAAGCGACCGCCTATCTTTGGTTCCATATCTATCCGGATCATAAGAATCACCACCGATTCTTATATCAACCCCTTGTCCTTGATCCGTACCTACTACAAAACGATTTGTTGCTTTGATCCTAGTTCCACCAAACTTGTTTTTGTTCTTGATCGGTTTTCTTTCTAGTACGTGTAACAAGAAAGTCTTTTATACTCCCTCCGTTTTTTTATAAGCTGTTTTGAAGGTTTTTTTTGTTTCACAATATATGTTGTTTTCACATTTCTATCCAACTTTTACTTTTATTGAATATTGTGTGACCAATTAAATTATCTAATTTTTTTATAATTGATTAAAGTAGTTTTAGTTTATACATTAAATAATATTGTTTTAAAGAAAAGTAAATTTCTTAATAGTTATGCTTTTAACCAAAAAAAAAAGTACGTATGAAGTACAATTTATTGTTGAATCAAAACATAAATTTGGAAATACTCCCAATAATTATCACTCTTTTTCAGCGAAAGATATGGATCTATATTTAGTTTTTTCTTTCCATGCTTGTCTGACTTAAAACTAATCTTGATTCTATGTTTACTTCATATTTTATAAATGCAATTTTAATTATAAAAATACAATTATAGAGAAATTGAAAAACCTCTAAATCTCTCATACGTTAAAATCTCTACATTTATACTTTAAGATATCTACAATTATACGCTACGTTACAAATACATTTATTGATAACTTTGTACTAGTATATCACCAAGACTGGACTTGCCATACTATAAATGTATGGTTATATGGCTAAATTACTACGAATCAGCAAACTTCCACAAAACTAAAAACACTTCATAGTTGAAATATCTAAACAAAACTTGAAAATGAAGAACGTTTCTTTTAAGCTTCCACTCTTGATTTTCATTTTGGTCATCACATCTAGTGAGTATTTTATTCATTAATCAAAACATAAATGATGAAAAAAAGTATCGTCATAAATCATTACCTTAAAATATTTTCAAATTTTTTTGGTTAAAAGATATTAAAGACACTACTTAATAGTTTAATAAACTTGCTTTAGAACTGTTGCCTTGTTCTTCTTTGGTCCTAAATATTACTAGAGAAACACAAATTTAACCGTTAAAAGCCATTTTGTTTATGCGAATGATGTAGAAGATCTTAGAGCAGAAGCAAGAAAGCTAACTGGAGTCGAACTTATCGCCGGAAGCTCAAGTTATGCCGGCACCGGCATGAAAATGGAGGATTCGTTCACTCCACTTCCAACTTGCAAGATCGACTACGATTGTACCTTAAGATGTCCAAAGGGAGGATTATGCAATCGTCGCTTTGGCACATGTAATTGCTTCTAAGTACTTAATCGCGCTTTAATCTAATTTTATCGAATATAAACTCAAGATTAATAAAAATCATATGCTTGAAATTTAATCTGCAAGCTTGATTCAATCCAAATAAAAACAAAACAGTTCTCAAGGTCTAGACTTAAGGCCTCTCCTTGCAAATGATAATCTTGACTTCGAAGAGACTGTTGTTTCTTCTTCTTCTTCTCCACTTTCATCACTGTCTAGAACAACAATGGATTCAGACATTAATGTTTCTTCTAAGCCCGAGTTCTCAAACTCAACAGCATCTTGGTTTTGATTCGTTTCCGGTTCCATTACAGTTTGAGCAAGTACCTCGGTTTTGGTAACTTCATTCGACAGCGACTCTCCACGGGGTCTCAAGGATAGTTTACGGCTTAGTTTATTGTTGTTGTCACTCTTCGTAACACTTGCTGCTTTATCCAATTTGCTGATATCTCTTTCTTCTTTAAACGGCTGCTTCAGCCCCAGAGAAAGCTTCTTTCCATGTGAATGTGGTTTCTTGTTTTCTTTGCAAGCAGCTGAAACTCCATTTGTGATGAGTTCTTCACCACACAAGTCTTTCTTTTGAGATTGAGGAGGCAAAACAAGAGATAATTTCTTCCTGCTCGCTTTTAATCCGTCATTACCACATGTGTTCGCCTCGCAGAAACCAATCTCGGCTTTTCTCTTCCCATTTCCACCCTTTTGTTCATCTCCAGAATTTGAGAGAAGCAGTTGTTTATTCGATATACTAGCGTCACGGTCCAGTGTTATCTTCAGCTTAATACCATCGGAAACCTTCTCATCTCCATGACTCTAAAGAAACAAAAACTGAACTTATTTGTCTAGGCAAGATCAGCACTACTTCAAGCTCATTGAAGACTCAGATTCTGTAATAAAATCATGCACCTTAACCTCGACTGTATTTGGACTGTCCTGAATCTGGAGGCTGGTGCTGCTTCCATCAGCCTTAACCTTTGCATACTTCTCGGTCATCTCTCGTGCCTTATAATCAAAAGTTTGTCTATTGTACTTATACTCCCTGCTCTGAGAAACAAAAGGCCAGCATATATCATCAAGAATCAAAAGAAAACTCTCAAAGAGAGATTGAGTTTGTGGTAAGCATTTTGCAAATAGACTTACTACTTCACACATCAAACCATCATCAGGATTCGGTTCACTCAGCAACAATCCGATGCTCGTCAAAACCGTCGAGATATTCAAAGATGGTTGCCAAGCACCCTGTGGCTCATATCAGAAACTAATCAGTGTTATCTCTTTGAATAAAAAAAGGCTCTTTTGCTTCCTAGTTCCTGATACACTGCACATTTGTACCAAGAATCGCAAACAAAAAGCCAAACTAAACAGCTTTCATGGATTCTTATAACCAAGAACCACCGTAGACAAGTTGCTTCACCATATCAAAAACAACTCTCAAGGAAAAACGAATTGCTCTTGAACATATCAAACACAAGCCTCAAGGGAACAAGAATCGACAATATCTCTAGCCAAGAAGAGCAAAACTAACACTGAATTGCTTGAACATATCAAACACAAGCCTTCAAGGAAGAAAGAAATGATCAAAGCAAAAGTCTCACCTTGGGAGGGAGATTTAAGATGTCAAGGCAAATCCGGCCACTGTTATCGATGTTTGGGTGATAAATCGGAGTAGCAAAAGACACAATCGGAGGCTGAAATGGGTATCTGATAGATCCAAATTTCTCTCATCAGACACAAAAAGGAACCAAAACCAATCAACACCAAAATCAAGTAAGATCGTACCTCTCAGGGATTTGAATCTTCACGGTGAAGATTCCATTAGCGTATACAGTATCTGCAGGACCTTCGATATCTGGAAAAACCAAAAACCCAAAATCAAAATAGGTTAAGAGAGATCTCAATCGCGGAAACTGGAAAAGAGAACAAAGAGATGTGAAAAAATCCAACGAGCATCGATGGTGGAGAAGGTTGAGAAATCGCCGGATCCAGCGGCGGCGGAAGAGAGGTGTGGAAACGAAGCGCCGTGAGGTGGATCGGAGAGAAGAAGCTTCAGTTCCTTTTGCATTCTCATGTTTAATCTCGCTGCTTGAGCCATTTGAGATGAAAATCTTCAGATTGTCGAAAAAGTTTGATTCGTTACTTTCGTCTTCTTCGTTTCCACTTCTGATTTTTCTGAATATTCTGCAGAAAGTTTTAGTGGGAAAATGGGTTTTTACACTGGCGGGGAAGATTTTGGATTTGGGGGTTTTCTTAATTCTAATATAACGAAATCAGATTTGAACCGTTGGATTTTAGATGCCTACTTGATTGATAGGATTCAACGGTTCGGATCAGTTCTGTGTTTTGGAGGGGCAAACAAAAAAGATTATTGTTGACAGTGGGATTTGAACCCACGCCCTTTCGGACAGGAACCTTAATCCTGCGCCTTAGACCAACTCGGCCATATCAACTTTTGATATTTGGATTTAAATACCTTTTATTTATAATGTAATATTTGGACTTTGTACTTCAATAGAACGGTCTAATATCTAAATCATATTCGTAATTATGGGTTGATTGGTAAAAATATTTGTGTATGACATATTCGTTCAGTCGAGCTTCATAAGCTATAAACGAGCATCGAAATTCCTATGATTCGTAATTATTACTTTAAATATCATGGAATTTTAAGAAAACAAACATTACATATATATTTTGAAGTTTTTGAGTATTTACATCTCTCGTATAAAACTTTTTTCTAGTAGACTAATTTTTGAAATAATTTCTCTCCCAATATATATATATATATATATATATATATATATATATATATTAAATTTTTATTAAGATTCTCTATGAATTAGTGATTTAAAATCTAAATTAATATTATTAGTCAGCAAAATACATACTTAGCAATACAAAAATGGGTAATAATCGATATACATAACTTAGATGACTATGTACTAGATTACTATATGTACTAGATTACTATGTAATTATGTACTATGTGATCTTAATCACTTTATAAATTAAACATATGTTGCCTCTTCATAGGGTGCGGTTTTCTCCTTATGACGTATGAGATGATGTAAAACTCGCCATTATCGCCTAATAAACTAATTGATCCGTACTATATCACTTTTATTGTTATATAAATTAAACTATACAGAAAATAATCTGCTAACCTGGTTTTAAATGAATAAATTATCCAAATACCACACTCGAGTGTACTGTGTGCATCCCCATCAAGATTCTACACAACGTGTCAAGTAACTACTCGCTCTTGCATCAATAACCAGTGCAGACCATGTCAGCGTCCCACGCGCAACCTCCTGGCTCTTTCTCTGAGAAATCTCTCTCAAAACACATATGATATGGCTGGACCAGTAACTTGCCACCTAAGGAAAGCAACAGTTGACCTGAATCATTTAGGGCACCTGCATGGGACCCAGATAAGAGCAAAACACGAACTTGCCACGTTATCGCAAAAGCATACTTCGTCACCATCTCACACTAATTTACACACTACACTATAGTGTTGTTATGGACCTCTCATTTGTTTCATTACGGACGACATATATTTGGTATGGGGGAGAGATGTCTCCAATTATTATTTTATTATTAAGGTCTAATTTAATTTGGATATTATATAAGTTATCCTAAAGATAGGTAAATTGATTGTAGGTAAGTTGACAAAATGTTGAATTTCATTGGTAGTTCATATATATATTGTTTTAAAAAATTAATTTTAGACAACCCAATTCAACACCTGCAATGAATCCACATGATCTATAAAAATCTGAATTTTCTTAGCACTCAAATCATTTAAGGATAACTATTTTTGATAAATTCAACCGGAGAAGAACACCATGAAAAAAATTCAGGTTTTGAAGTTTATGTTCTAAAGTAAAGTCGATCTATTTATGCGTTTAGGGTCTCTATGAACTATGGGTAAGTCCATTAAGCGTTTCCCACACGTATATCGTCTTCTTCACTCCAATTGTTCATGATGATGAAAAAATGTCAAAAATGTCAAGCGAGAGATCAAGCCAGAGAGAAAGATCGAGCCAGAGAGACTTTGCTTGCACACAAGTGATATCCTTGGCAATATGAAACCTTCTCATCGAGACAATGGATTACACTTACGATTGTACAATAGTTGCACTTTAACTCTATATTTGAAAACATGATAAACAGAGAAATGATTTTGCAAAATTTAAGAAAAGAAATATAGAAAAAAACTTTAACTCAAAGATTTATAATCGTGAAGAGGTATTTTCACTTTTATCTTTCAATTAGTAATCACGTGTAAGATCATGCAAAAGAAACATTCATAAAATTGCAGTGCTGATATTTCTGCTCCTTCACCGGCCGGCATTGCCTCCGACGCAGGCTGTATTTCTTTTGTTTGTAAATAAGTTTCATCCAATAAATTCTTATCAGAGACAGTAAAAGCTTTTCAATTGGTAGAGAAATCTTCAGATTCAATATGGATCAATTTCTCTTCTTCTTTGATGTTCTTGCCAATTATCTCTGATATAGTTAATTTTTCTCTCATGAATTGTTATCGATTTGTTGTTCCTACGGTGGTTTCAACATCGCTTCATGGTGGTGATTGTGTACACCTGATCGATACGATTTCATATATGCGTGGGTCAGTCGGCATGGGTGGTGAAATCTCAAAATCAGAACGTGATCAATGAATGTCGCTCATTGCAATTCGCTTATGGCAATTTCTTTAGTAAGTGAAATCCTTCCATTTCTTTTTATCCCAGTGATTGATTGGTGGATCTTTGTTGTCTCTCAATGTAGAGTACTTTCCGGTGAGTTATTTCTCTGCCGGCGAAAAGTCTGGTTTTTAACCGGTGATTGTCTTCATACCCGATGGTATGGAGTTTTCATTTGGGTTTTTGATCCCGGAATCACTAGAAAAATTATCTTTTTGGAAGAAAGAATAAGATTTCCAATGTATCGAATTGGGAGAACAATTTCAAAGTCAAAATATTTCGAAAAGCATTGATACGGAAACGTTGGTATCAGATTGTCGAAGTTCCAGAACTATTACCAAAAACATCGGCTTTTTACATGCTGTGTGCAATTCAAAGGTTTAGCCAAGAGATACTGCGCACACATTTTGCATCAAATTAAGATCAAATACAGAGAAGGAAATAATGGATTTTCATGATTCGTTAGCGGATAAGACTTATCTACGGAAAGCATCGTCAAAATCACTTCTTTTGTTATATCTTTTTCACTATATTATGCATATATCTGTTTATGTAATAATTTGTTTTCCGAAAGTTCTGTATGACTTTGTATTCCCAATTTAAAATTAATGAAATTGTTTGTCGTTAAATAAAAAAAGTAATGGAGATGTGATCAATGTAATAATCCCTATCTAACAATTTGCTGTTGAATTCAAAGGTTTCAGTTAAAAAAGTTTTCAGTATCCATTAAAACAAAATCGTCTTCTAGCTTTTGATATTATACTGTTATTTAAACAAACAGAAACTATACCCTATGGACCCCATTTAGTGATCATAGTACTATTCATTGTCTAAATAAAAGTTGTAAGATTCGATTAAAAAGGAAATATATACTAAAAAAAGAAGAAGGAGAGAACATTTTAAAAATGAAAAAGGGAGCACTGTCTCTCACCGATTCGAGGAGGTCATTGTCTCTTAGGTTATGCCGAAGTAAGGACCCATGCGTTGATGCAATAAGTTGTTGTTTTATTCAACAGTATATATATTATTATTATTACAGACATACTATGTGGGTTAGAATTTGACCCACGTCCTATTAGTTAATTTATGTCTACATTCATCTATCATATTTATTGGGAATTTTTCAAAGATCGTATTGGATTTCGTGGTGTGGCTTAAACAATAAAATAGTAGTGCCTTTGATGCGTGTGATTTGATGGGAACTACGGGTTTTGATTCTTAACCAAGTAATCTTTGTCCATTCGAGTAGTTAATGTTAATGTAATTTTGTACCTCTATAATCAAAAACCCCTTGCAAGTTGCAACACTTGTGGTTGAGTCCATAAATATGAATAGGGAAATGGGATGTGCTTTTGCAGGTTAAAGAATGTGTCTGGAATATCATGTTAACTTGGCATTTAATGCTTGAAATAAATATAAGCTTAAGCCAAAATTCGATTGACTGTCTTTAGATTGTCTTGATGTTATGTCCTGATAGATTTAGGGGCATGTTAGAGATGAATGCATAGCTAGGAGATATCGTGATATATATTTTTGTGATCTATGTGATCCGTTCTAATTATGTTCGGATTGGTACTTTTTAAAATGAGAAATCGAGTATTAAAGTGTGTAATTGGAGCTGATGTTTATAAAACTATAGGAAACGAACTTCTAATTTTATATTTGTGATTCACCTCCAAATCCGAATGACCACAAATGGACTAAAAGATCAGTTTACCTTACTAAAAGAGTCTCATCTTCGTCTACAAATTTCTCAGGACGTCCTCAGCTGCATCGTCCCACAATGGATCAGGACAATCCAGCCAAAACACAACTTTCTTAATTTATTTGGACCTGGTTGCATCCAAATCCCATAAATTCCAACGGCTCTTTCCAAGACAGAAAGTACACGACTTAGAGACCTTCTACACATACAAAAAGTTCTCACGAGACCAAAACTTCATGCCAAATTTTCTCCAGGCGTCTCCCACCTTATTTGGCTAATTAAATGGATATATTCTCTAAAATCACTCTCTTATGATTTTTGGCTAATCAAATTTTCTTGTTTGAGCATTTTTAGCATATATAAAGATCATCATCCCTATTGATAATATTCGCAAATTCACCAGTCAAAAACATATAACTTTCTTTTCTAAAGTCTTGTTTTTGTGTTTGTTTATATTGAGTTGTGTGGGATCATTTCTGTTGTATTCGTGCGTGCTCGAGTGTTTATGTATACAAAAACTCTAGTTTATGGGAAAGAGACTTGATCCTTACAAGGAAGAGCTCCTGAATTAAGCTCCGGATAAACCACAATCCAAGTGTGCTTCCTTTCCCAAACACAGTTGGTCCACTTTAACATTCTTGTGATTAATAAGTCTTGTGTATCGAAACTTATATGACCAATCAAAAGGACAACTACTGCAAGGAATTAGACATCAAACCATAGAAGAAGCAGATATACGTTCATCGATTTTATGGTTTCTGGAAGAAGAAACTTTACAATAGGTCATTTTGTAAATCCTTGTGTAAAAATTATTGAAAGAATTTTGTTTTGTTCTTAACTGATATTACTTCTTGCTATCAAAACAGTTTCGAAAGTTTGTAGACCAAACCGAGAAGATTGTGAAGTCTGAACTATTTTTGGGAGATATCTTTCCCAAACAAGATTTAAACTAGAGTTCAGAACATAATATTCTATGAAGACCACTAGACTATCTACGGTTAGTAGATTTTAGTATTTGCTATATGTTGTAGATAATTCCATGAATTTTTACAAACGAATCTAACGGAAATTACGCCAAACCTAAATATATCTCACACATGGGCGGATCAAATAACTTGTCACCTAAGAAAATAACTTTTTGAGAAAAAGGCCAAGGACCTGAAGCTTTTGGGCACCTGTATGGGGTCCCACAGGTTTGCTCGTGACACCGTAAAAAGCAAAACACGAACTCGCCACGTTATCTCAAAAGCTATCCACGTCACACCGTCTCACTGTCAACACTTACTATACTATATACTATTTCCTCATTTCACTTTCCTCTTTCGTTTTTTTTTTTTGTTTATATAAACCTACAAGCTTCCTCCTTAATTTCTTTACCAACAGCAAACATATAAAGCGAAAGAAAAAAGAGAGAGAGAGAGAAAAAAAAAAGAAAAGAGAAAAATGGAGGACGACAACAATAATAATAACACAAGCAACACAAACGTGATCGCACCTTTTGTTGTGAAAACGTACCAGATGGTCAACGATCCTTCTACCGATTGGCTCATCACTTGGGGACCTGCACACAACAGCTTCATCGTCGTTGACCCTCTCGACTTCTCTCAACGGATCTTGCCTGCTTATTTCAAACACAACAATTTTAGCAGCTTCGTTCGTCAGCTCAACACTTATGTAAGCCACTCTACTCTTTTTCTCTTAATTTCCAAGTCCATCTCAAACTCACACTAATTTCTTGAATTTGGGCTCAAGACTCTTGAGCCAAAACTCAGACTAATTTCTTGAGTTTCGGCTCAAGGGCTCAAGAAACTCAATAGACTCTTCTTGAGCCGAAACTCAGATTAATCTCTTGAGTTGAAACAAAGACTAATCTTTTTTTATATTGTTTTCAGGGGTTTAGGAAAGTGGATCCGGACAGGTGGGAGTTTGCAAACGAGCATTTCTTGAGAGGCCAGAAGCACCTGCTCAAGAACATAGCGCGTAGGAAACACGCGCGTGGGATGATGTACGGACAAGATTTGGAGGACGGAGAGATCGTGAGGGAGATCGAACGGTTGAAAGATGAGCAGAGGGAGCTGGAGATGGAGATTCAGAGGATGAACCAGAGGATCGAAGCGACGGAGAAGAGACCGGAGCAGATGATGGCGTTTCTCTACAAAGTCGTGGAGGATCCGAACCTCCTCCCGAGGATGATGCTCGAGAAAGAGAGGACGAAGCAATTAGTCTCGGAGAAGAAGAAGCGTCGCGTGACGGTGAAGTCAGAGGAAGGTGCAGAGGAGGAAGAAGAGGAAGAGAACGGGAGGGTTTTTGGTGTTGGTGTTGTTTCGCCGTCGCTTTCTCCGCCGGAGAATCTTTACCGGACTCAGTCGCCGGAGAGTTCGATGGGATGGGTTGTTCCGTTGCAGAGGACGGGACAGTTTGGTAATAGTTACAACGAGACGGGTCTTGTTTCGAACTCGATGGTTTCTACTTCTTCGTCTTCGACACCATCGTCGTTAACGTCGACGTTGTCGTTGCCGGAGAGCGTTAACGGAGGAGGAGGAGGAGGATGTGGAAGTATTCATCAGGGAGAAACAAGGTTCAGTGAAACGGCGACGTTTGGAGGAGTGGTAGAGTCAAATCCACAAACACCGCCTTATCCGTTTTCTTTGTTTCGAGGTGGCTTTTAGGCTTTTAGCTATAGCTCTCCACATGATATATGATCTTTTGGTTCTTGTTATTATTTGTTTTTTGTTTTGTTTTTTTTGGGTTTTCTTAATTATTTATGTATAACAAAAGAAAGAAAAGAAAAAAAGGACAGGATCGATAGTTGTTAGTTACGTGAGTATTAGGACAGGGAGACAGAGTCAGTGACTCAGTATAGTCATATCGATTTATAGAAAGTTTGACAGTATATGGTTTCCGATTATATTGTTAAAAAGTTCATATTTGACTTTGTTTTTTCCCCCAGACTTTAGTCTTTTGATTTTTAAATCAAGTATTAAAGCTATATCTCTCTTTTGTAATAACAACTTTTAGAAATGCTCTTAACATTTTACCCAAAAAAAAACTTTTAGAAAAGTGACAGAGTTACAGAGACATGCATTCATAAATTGTGACGAAAACTTGTGCATTCTTTTAAGAAGTGGAACAGCAAATTATATCTCCGTTTTCGAAGTATGATTAACGTAAATAAAATGGAAAGTATGAAACTATATTAATCTATTATATTTTTTTTTTGGTAACAAATCTATTATAAATGTTCTCATAACTAAAACAAAATGAGAATACTGGAACAAGCTAAAAGTATCGAAACTTTTCACTTAAAATGATAAAATTTCTTCACATCAAGAACCACAAACATTCAAGACAATGACAAAATATAATTTTCTATATTTTTGAATTTTTGTTAGTGTTTTTATTTTGGCAACATGTGAATTGTGATTTCCAGTAAAACTCTAGTTTTATTTTCTGAAATTTTGTACATTCTTCATAGTGAATCGTTATTCTTTTTGATGTTTTTAAAAATTAGTAGATTATCGCTTTCTAGTCTTTTGTCTTAGTTAAGTAATGCTTAGATTATGCTCAACACATAAAATTATACCTAAGCACATCTACTTAGTAAATTAATGCTTTCTTTGTATAATTATTTTCTAAAATATTTGTAAAAATTATTTTGGCGTATCCTTTTCTATTCAATTCAATTTTTTAATAAAAAAACCTATGCTTAGAGATATAGTGAGCTAAGATTTAGAGTCATGTTTATAAACTTAGAGTTATGCAGAGAATATCAAACACATCAACAGAAAATTCAAAAATGATATATAGACCAGTCTTATACATTGTCTATGTACTTGCATAGTTGAAGCGACATTAGTCGAGTCACGAGTGATAAAATTGAGAAAGTCAACGAATCACCAGCCACGATGATTCAATTAGAAGCATATCCCTAACACGATGCTTCACTTTTTACAATACTATGCTTTGATAAATTTTAAGAGAGTGACAGTTAGCCACGGGACTTTGGTCGGCCTTAAACGTTTCGAACACTCATTGGGTTACGTGAGAGAGTCTCTTAAACAACGATTGATTTCAATTGGACCGGCATGGACCACCTGATGTCTCACACACACATGGACGCGTGTCGATGCCAGATAGTGGCAAAATCTTTTGTAGATGTGCGGGCCCTACACTATTATTGTCGGCTCCTCTACGATGCGCATACATCATGTAAAACTGTAGCAATTCATGATTAGTTGATCAACTCGCTCTGAATCTCTGAGCAAACTAGCCGAAACCTAAAAGTTGAACTAAAACGAATCAAATTAAGAGAAATAAAACAGATTTGGGTAATCATTGATATTCGAATGGTATTTTTTCAAAATAATCTGAATATCTGAACTGATATATAAATAGTACTTAAAAAGTTGAAATGTTTATATACATTAATATTCGGTATATTAAAATTTCGTACCTAATATAGCAAGGGAAATATATCAAAATAAAAATTGGTTATGGATAAGCTAGCCCAATTTAGTAATCAGAGTACTATTTCTTGTCCAAATCGAAGACGTCAGATTCCATATTATTGGAAATATATACCAAAAAAAGAAAGGAGAGAATATTTGCAAAAAAAATAAAAATGAAAAAGAGAACCGTCTCTCGCCGATTTGAGGAGGTCATTGTCTCTTAGGATCTGGCGAATTAAGGACCATGCTTTGATTCTATAAATGGTTGGTTTATTCAAAGCACATTCAATTTTTTTAATCCCACCTAACATGTGGTTAGCCTCTGACCCACGTCCTCTTAAGTTAAAATTTTACATAATCAATGAATTACTTAATTGGTGACTTTTTGCATTAGGATATTGGGTTGGCTTAAACAATAAAATAGTGTATTGAATGTTTGATGTGTGCCAATTTGATTGGATTAAAGGTTTCATCAATTCTTAACCAAGCAATCTTTGTCCCTTAAAAGTGACTTCTTTTATGAAATTTGAAAGTCTCTATAATCATATACTTATTGAGACACTTAGTGCCAAACTGCCAGTTCATTTGTTAATAACTTAATATTAACGTCTTATTAAATCAATATCAAAAGAACGGGGAAAAGCATCAAAATAGGTTGTTGACTTGTTTTCAAGAAAATCCTCTTTCTGCTGATTTTTTGTAGTGCCTTAAATCTCGAAATATAAGTTCAAGTTTCTTTTCATAGAGTGAAATGGAAAACTACTGGTTGAAGGCATCACAACTAGGGTTAAGAATCACAATTAGGATTACAAATACAGAAATCAGATTTTGGGACAGTATAAATATGGATCTTAAAGTTTTGTGGACCTTTTCGGGGTAAGATATTGAATTAAGGATCTATCATCTATGGAAGGAAACAATCTTTTGTTCATCTTGAGATTCTTAGACTAATGAAAGCTTTAAGGTTTGAACATCATAAGGTGTGAGATGAAACCAAATGCAATCAAAGTATACTGATGAGAGTTGATGAACATTTTGTGTTAGAAAATAATGTTATTGTCTATCATAAAAATAAATATGTGGTAAACGAAGTTTAGGTTTGAAACTATAAAATAAGATTCAAATAATTTGGGGAACACACGATTCGATTAACTAAAATCACCAAAAGATGCAACAACTACATCCAGAATATAAGAAAAGTAGAATAAAAATGACCAAAATAGCAATATTGTAATATAACACAAATAGATCGAACCAGACAATGGAAGTTGAAACCATAGCCACTCCTCGTACAGCTCTGGAGGGCAAAACATAAAGAATAGGATATGTAAAGAATTGAATCAATACAATTTTGTAATACTAACCAATTTATCAGCCATCAGAAAAATCCTGAAAATCTTCTTCTCACTGCGAGAAAACTCGAAGTCCAGCCTCTAAATCCTCCAACCTGATTGTACAAATCTCCTCAGTGTCAACACATTCAAAGCTAAGCCGAAGATCAAGATTCTCCCTCGCGTTAACAAGCAACGTGTCCACCAATCCACCGTTCATCTCCTTCCTCTGCTTCTCGGTTGTTTCTCTCTCTATCACCGACGCTATCTCCTGCAGAGTGCAAGACTCATGCAACTTGAAACCATAGAACAGAGTATCCTCTCCCTGGCTGTTCATCTTGATGTGTAGTATCTGTGCCAGTTCCTTGGCACTGAAGTCGCTGAAATTGAAAAACTTTGTGACCCTCCTGCAAAACCCTTCGTTCGATGCGATCACACGCTTCATTGGCTCGCTGTATCCAGCGAATATCACCACGATTTTCCCTGTGTCCATGACCGACATTATCTCTTCAAGAGCTTCTAGACCGTAGTCCTTGTCGTCTGCTTTTTGCATCGGGATCAACCTGTATGCTTCGTCCACAAAGAGAATCCCTCCCTCAGCTTCTTGGATCTGTCAAGAAATTGAAAAGACTTCTAGATTCTCTGGAACCAAACCCACAAGTAAAAATCAGAACTTTCTGAACGGGTTTTCATTACCTTTCTCCTGGTCTTTGGCCCTGTATGACCAACGAACTCACCAACCAAGTCTGTTCGCTGCACTTCTGTTACCTTGTCGGTCGGTAAAATCCCAACCGTGTGAAGCAACTTCCCGAGAACTCGAGCAACCATGGTTTTACCTGTTAGAAAACAAAATGTGTTCATGCATTGGTATTGATGCAAAGACAGAGAACCATAAATATACAAATCCTTTTCTCTCTCACCTGTCCCAGGGTTTCCAAGAAATGCCATATGCGGAGGTCTTCGAGTTCCGATGTTTATCCCAAGAGCTCTACGCCTCTCATCCAAAAGCATTCCTTTTGCCCATTTCCTCAGTTGTGTCTTGAGCTCGCTTAGTCCAACAATATTTGACAACTCGTCCTCAAGTAGATCCATCTTGGCTTTTGTCTTACCGCAAGCCTCAAGCGCGCTTTTTTTCCTCTGCTCTTGTAGAAACCAGCGTAATAGCTCCCGTAACTTCTCACTGCTCTGTCCTTGAGGTAGATGGTCCAAAGGAGTCATCCCTTCCTGTAAAATACAAAATTCAACAGCTATCACACAAATAATACAGTTACCAAAAACAAAAGAAACACATAGTTTAAGAGGATCATACATTATCTTTGGCGCTGCAATCTGCGTTATTATCGAGCAGTGTCTTAACAGTCGAGATGTCTTTAGAGGTAATTGAGTACCATACCGCAAGATGCAATGGTGTCATACCATTCTGCATAAACCCAAATAAGTCCAAGCTACTATCTTAGTAAGAGCAGAAACTTCCACATTACAATGAGAGAAGACAGATAAACTAGAGAAAGAGGACAAATTTACGCTGGCTTTGGCTTCGATGAAAGCACCACGGTCAAGAAGTAGCTTCGCAGCTTCATTACGGCCGTTCTTGGCTGCCATGTGCAATGGAGTTTCACCATACTGAAGAAGACATTGATAGAATCAAAATCTCCAAAAATGAAGAATCAGATAGAGAGGGAGAAGAACAAAAGATAATTCAAGCTTACAGTATTCATTGCTTCCAACTCAACTTTCTCAGATCCTGCCCAATCGAGGAGATACTTGACTATATCAACATTTCCATTACCAGCAGAAACATGAAGTGGCGTGTGGTACATCTACAGACCAATCAAAAACCAACTCAATAACAAGACAAAAATTTGATTTTTTGCTAAAGTTTTGGATTCTCTAAATCGATTCACCATTAAAAGATCAAATTTTGCAACCAGATTCCAAAAATCAAGCTAAAAGCTAGCGATTTGGCCGAATTCTTAACAAAACCCCCCAAATCGGATTTAGATTCAGGGGAAAAAGAAAGTCGCAAGAAATGGAGGAGAAATCATACGACGGGATTGCGTTCATTGAGAAGAGAAGGATTGTCTTTGAGAAGTCTCTGCAAGGCAATGAGATCGCCGGAGTGAGCGCAATCGTGGATTGTGGTGGGTCTAGCGGATCTCAGCCGCTGTCCTCCTCCTCCGCCGACTTGTCGGTTCATTGTTCGATCGTCCACAAAACTATAATTTCCCCAAATCGATCTTTTGGGGAGATTTTCTCTCAGAGGATTTTCCGGAGAAAGTTTTCGGAGATTCAGTGAGGAAGAAAGAATAGATTAGAGAAGGAGAAACGAAAGTCCATCCGCGTCTTCCTCGCTTCTTCGTCGTCTCTTATTCTTTCTGCGTCATATGTTGTGGTTTGTAAAAGACGATTTTACCCTTACCTGATTTAGTGTGGAGCACCTGGCGCCTTCCTAAACACAGCTAAGCTAGTATTTAATCTAGTCATATTAATTTACAAAATAAGTATTATCTAATCTATAATCAACATACGTAGGTCTTTGTGCCCATATTACAAATTTATTTGTAGTACGATGATAAAGGTGTAAAACCATCATCACAGAGATACAACTTTTGAAACAAGAAAAAACAATGAGATAATCTAGAAGTTCACCGAGAACCACGAGATTCGAGATCAAAACTTACAAGAAGATCAAAGAGTAAGAGATTTTTTTTCAAAGAATAAAATATTCGATAGATTATGATAACAGTGATGAATAATAGAAAGAGAGTGAAGAAGATTATATTGTTTTTGATTGATTAAATTCTGAACATGACAAGAGTCTTACATATACAGTAGAACTTCTATAAATTAATACTCGATAAATTAATAATCATTATAAATTAATAAATTTTGCTAGTTTCAAGTCGGGCCAATGTAAAAATCCATCAAATTCGATAAGATAATAAGATAATAATTTTTTTTGAAACCCTTATGTAAATATATGGTCCCAACAAAAACATAAATTAATAATGATATAAATTTATGAATATATATATAAATTTAATATTCTAAAATATGACTAATGTGTTCGTTTTTAGTTAAAGTTGAAATCTCATTAGTTCTCATCTCTCTAATTATTATATGAGTAGCTCTTATTGCGGTTTTACTATATACATTCAAAAGTTATGATGATTTTTTGATGTGATAATTGATTTTCTTACATGTAAATGTTTTTAAATGTATTGTAGTGTTATCTTCAATTTTATTATCAATAATACTGATAGTAGCCATAGTTTTTTTTAATAAATTTTAAACTTATGAACATGTATATTTTTATATGGATAATCCAATATGGAGAAAACTATTTTATTGTGATAGTTATGATTTTTAATCATAATTTATATTATGATATTTGTTAAAATTTTAAAATATAACATTATTCCAAAATAATTTTTAAAAAATTATATGCAAATATCAATTTTTCTCTATAAATTAATAATTATTAATTTATAGATAAATTAATATCACGATAAATTAATAAAATATCATGGTCCTAACATTATTAATTTATAGAGATTTTACTGTACATCGAGTTTACAACTAAAACAAAATTAAATTAAATAAATAAATTAGTGAACTAAATTGTCATTATTCATGAATATGACGACGGTAGAGGACTCAAACAAACAACTGACTAAAATGAATCCTAGTCTGAATGACTGACATTGTTAGAAAACACATGATCACAGTAACATGCATGTGGATGATGACTCCCATAAAAAAATCATAACCCCTAACAAGAGTGGTCAGAGTCCGAGGGACCTAAACACTCTATTCTAACTCTCCAAATTGTTCTGTCCTATCTCAATAAGACTAAGACTTCGAACTTGTCATTATAAATGATAAAAGACCTTAAATAATTATCTCATTGTTAATCTGGAAAAGCTAACTGTGAGATTCCGCTCCCTTCTTCCATAATCGGGAACCAGACGGACTTATCAAATCCATGAGACTCCGAATCCGCCTTTCATCTGGATTGGCTATCAACTTTGAACGTCCCCAACCGTCCCTACCAATGAGCCCAACGCTATATATCTGGGGCCCAACGTCTTCTCTCTCTAGGTCCATTGGCCCACCACTGTTCGACGATTGGCCTCTTTCTAGACCCATGGGCCCACCCTGTCTGACGGTCGGGATTCGCTTGGTCTAGGAGGCTCGTAAGAGTTGTCTACTGTCCCTGCAATCACCACGTGATATTTTTCCATGTTTTGTCCTCACTCGTACGATACCGCAGACTACTTCCCGGTAGATCACACATCCAGAGATTGCTCCAACATAAGCACGCTTAACTCTTGAGTTCTCTCAAGACACTTGACCGGAAAATATACACTTTTGATGACATAGGTAGCCAAATTAATTCTTATAAGCCTTTTTCACATATACTGGAAATCGAAAATGTCACACTAACATTTCTACAATCACCAGTGTGATCACCAGCGGCCCCTAACGACCTAGAATCTTGATGCCCTCCAAGTTTGTCATATTTGAAAGAAAACCCCAAATTATATAATCTAAATTTCCAGAATTTAAAATAAAAGAGATAAAATATTACCTCGTTAATCATACAATGGAATACAATGGAGTATGGTTGGTCTTAATATAACGAGTTTTGATATTCTTTTTTTGGGATAAAATGTGAATATATTACCAACATGAACATAAGTTTGATTACAAGCGTTTAATAACAAGAAGCTTCATTTGACCAAAGAAAAGAGAAAAGCAAAGATGAAACTAGTGGGAACCGAGTTAGGCAGATGTGAACCATTAGACATTAGATCTTGACATTGTCTTCTGGGGAGACAAGCAAGGATAGTGTCCCTGATAGTGCGATCCAATTGCTATTAAAAACCACTTTAGCAGTTAGCGAGGTGTTATTGTGGAAGATATTGATTCTTCTTTCCAAAAGTTTGGGAAGAAGATTGTAGCTTGGATAGTGAGCTTCTTAAGAGTTGACGACAGACCTGGTGATGAAGCGAGTTTTGGTCTTTTTCGAGATGGAGTCTGATTTTTTTTGGAAAAGCCATCAAACTAATAGATTTTTGTGTAAAATTAGAACAAAAAAAACCTTCCGAAATTAAAATATTGTCCATTGTGAATTGAAAAAAAAACGATGGTCTAAACTATTAATTGGAGGAGAATCAAAGAGATCCATTAGCTTAATTAGTATTTTATTTTATGGATGAAAAGGGAAAAAAAAAGTTGATATCAAGTTTGCAATCAAGTTGTAAGACGTTCATCATCTAAGTAAGATCCTTATTTCGAACACAACTTTGATTACTAAGTAATGTGCTTATCTTATATATAAAATTTGGCCAACTTTCTCCAGCTGCTTGCCACATCAGCACTGGAGAAAGCGCCACCTGTCCATTTAAATTTTTTATAAAATAAACAATTAATCATATTTAAAGAAAAAACATTAAAGAACATTAATAAATATTAATATGTATTACAAATGTATTTAAATAAATAAATTCAAATTTATTTTAAATATATCAAAACTTATAAATATTATATAATATAAGACTTTTTGAAATACATCATTCCATTTCTTCCTTCCAAGTGATTTAAACTACATTTTCAAACTAAAAGTATAATTAAATTTTTATGAAAGTGAAAAAAAATTATCAGACTGAATAAGTTAAGAAGTTTTAAATAATCTTATATAAAACTCTAACTAGTAAAATTATAACACACAAAAAATATTCAATAAATTATTAAAATTATTAAAAAATAATAGTAAAAAAAAGTGGATACATAAAAATGTCATACAAAGTTTTTTAGTAATTTTTAAAAAGATGTAATCAATAAAATATATATAACCAAAAAAACTCAAAATAGTAAATTTTTCTATAAGCTATTACGTTTTTATATAAAAATTAAAATAGTAGATCTTTAGTCCCTCATTACCGTAGGAGAAAAATTGGATTATTTAGTACAACCGGTATGGAAGAGATTACAAATAATTTATCATCTAGAAGAAATCGGAAAATATAAATATTTTAAACGAAAAAAACATTGATGGTAATAATAAAATTCAATACAAATTCTAAAAATGTATTATTTAAAATATAAATTAAAACAAGAACCGCGCATATGTGCGGGTTCTCTCCTAGTCTCCATAATAATGCAAGTGGACCCTTGGCACCTTCTTAAACACAGTTAGTCTATTAATTAGACTAATCATATGATTTACAAAATTAAGCATATCTATATCAACAGTACTCTTTGTATCCATAATTGCAGAAAAATTGGAGGAACAACTGTAGACGCCTTTTCACACACATGGCATTCAAATGATTCCTCATTTGTACTAGCTAGGATGACAAATCTTTATATATCTTCCGAGCCAACTCCAACATTTTCACTATGGAGTTGATGTTGGAGAAATTTTCTTAGCATGGATAAGAATGAGAAGGGGATCTTCTAGTTCTTACATATATTAAATTACAATACTATAAATTCTATAACTAATTTGAAAAATCAAGGAACATGTGGAACAAGGAAGAATGTATGAATTTACATTAGAACCTAAGCCCGATCCACATCACATTCAAATAAAACGGTGGACGCTGGACCATATATTTATTAGTTGAAAATTTGTTTAACATTTAATATATGCACTAGATTTAAACCCGTGCATCATCACGGGAAATTTATATTTTTAATCTAATTTATAATATAATTTATATTTTTATAGATAATATTATTTTAATAAGTAGTATATTTATTTTTGTGTTTAAATAAATATTTTTTATTTATTTATTTTATTAAATTTGATTATAATTATAAAAATATAATTTTAACCCGACCGATTTATTAATCCGTAAAAGAATATAATTCTAAAAATATAACTCTAACCCGTTTGTTCATATTACTATATAATATAAATATTTACTAATTTTAAATATTTATATGTTTAGATTGAGTGATTATTTAGAAAAACTATATATACATATTGTTTATCATTTATTTTATTATGAAAATTTTATTTAAATTTGAATATTTAAATATTAACATAATACCCTATTTACTATTTTATAAAGATAATAATAATTAATTTTTGTAATTTTTATATTTAATGTAATCTAAATTTAAGAAAATCTAAACTAACTAAATTTAAATTTAAAATTTTCAGAATTATTTTTAAATATAAATTAAATAAATTTTATGTTATTTTTAAAAAATAATTAAAATATAAAATTAAATGAAAAATTTGTTTGGTAACAGAAATAACAGATATCCAAAAATAGAATAGTAGAAAACCAAACAAAAATCTGTTTGGACACAAAACACCTTTCTCTTTTAATAGTATAGATTATCATAAATTGTGTTGTATGTGTGTTTTTTTGGGTGTTGACACTTGACAGCTTTGTTTTAGAGGAAAAAAAAACTAAACATAGGAGAATATTAGAAGGTGAGACCAGCGAATGTCATGCCAATAATCATGTGCATAACGTTATACCAAATACAAATCATAGTTCCCCCATGTGATGCCCTACCTTATATATATAATCCCGAAGCCCCACTCAAAACTTTTACAAGATTTTTCATTCAACTCAGATATAAGTTGATTTCTGAAAAGCAAAAACGTTATTTTATTTTCCTATTAATAAATCTTCGTATGACTTTGCAATAAGAAGACAAATTTTATTATCTCACTCTTGTCCTCTTATAGACACACATGATCCTTCCCCTCCTAACAAACTCACACCTAAAAATACATTCCATCTCTCTTCTTGCATAATTCACCTACATATAATCTCTATTCATTTCATGTATCTTCTAAACATAAAACAAAATTTACACCATTCCTTTGTACTAATTTACTATGAATATAACTAATCAATATGATTCTGGCCCACCATGCTTTAATGTCTTCAGTTAGTGATGATTTTTTGACAGGAAAGGGACGGCCTCCAGTGGAATGGAGCTCAAGATTGAAGATTGCTGTTGGTTCTGCCAAAGGGTTTGTCTTATCTTCATGAAAAATGTAAGTCTTAATATCTCAAAATCTGGTCTGACCCATGGCTGTCAACTAAGGAGAGGGCCCAACCCATGGGTCCACCGCTGGAACTCTTCCAAACTACCAAGGTTAAAGATTTGTTAGTGGAACAAAGCTCAAGCTGAAACCTGGAGGCTATTATCAAATTCTTCCCATAAAACCCAGTACCCTAGGGGCTAAAGATAAAAATATGGCTAAGGTACCTCTCAGGAGAATACACTACCAAGTCGGGCTATTTTGTTGCATCAGAGAATGGAGGAAGAGCCTCATTACCTAACAATATCTCCTCAACGAACTGGAACATGCAAGTGTGAAACTTGAAAACAGCTCTAAAGGTCAAAATGTTTCTCTGGAAAGCAATTCACAATGCACTCCCTGTAGGAGAACAACTGGCAATCAGACAAATCCCAATGGAAGTAAAATGTTGCAGATGTAATGAAATTGAGACAGTAGTTCACCCGCTCTTCCACTTCCCTTTTGCTGTTGAGGTCTGGCAAGCTCTCCCCTTATGGAATGGATTTGATCCGACATCTATCATAGACACTTTATCAGGCATTCGTAGAGCAAGTGAGTGCTATTCTCTTCCCCCGATAAGGCTGGATAAAGAAACCTTATCTTCATGGGTTTGTTGGACCCTATGGACTTCAAGAAACCAGCTAATATTCAATAACCGCAGACTCTCAGTAGAGGAGATGGTTGTGAAGGCAATCTTCCATGCTCGTGAGTGGAGCTCTGTGCAGATCCAAGCCTCGCCTACAACCCTGACCATTTCTCCAACATCTCTCCAAAATCCTTATTCACTAAGTGAAGAGACTCATATTTGCTATACTTATGCATCTTGGCATGCATAATCAGGTCTAGCAGGACTTGGCTGGACCCTTGAGAAAAGCCCATCCTATTTACATTCCTCCTCAACATCCAATGTTACATCTCCTTTTATGGCGGAAGCATTGGCTATCAAAGCTGCTATGTTCTGTGCGAAATCTCTGTTTCTCAACAGAGTAACCTTTCGGTCAGACTCCCAATCCCTAATTTGAACGATCAACGCCGGCGGTTCGATCTCGGAGATTCACGGAATCTTCACTGTCATCTATCTCTCTATCCCATGTTTATCTTCAGTTGATTTTAATTTCATTCCAGAACAGCAAATGTCAATGCTGATTCTATTGCAAAACGGTCTTTATTAAGTCTGAATATTGTAACCGGTTAAAAAATTTCTGTTATAAGAAGGATTCGCACCAAAAAAATAATATCTCAAAATTATGTAACAGATGTTTAATAAATACATGCCGCATTTGTTTATGTAATTATATGTGTATATATTTTTGCTGGCAATCTTAAAATCATTCACCGTGATATAAAGGCGTCAAACATATTGTTTGATTTCAACTTTGAAGCAAAGGTATGATTTCTCATTTTTATGTTTCCATTAAAGCACTGTACATGTAACTTGCCACGACATTTTCGTGAAGAATTTTTGAATTTTGTTTCTTTGAATTACATGTAGTTTATGAACTAAAAAGATTAGCAAAAGTTTTTTTAGTTAGAATTTGTAATCTAATATTTTAATTTTTTTATGCTTAATTCATAACTGAAATGTAGTTTTTTTCTTTTTTTTCCTATAATATGTGGTTTATATTTTTTAATTAATTGTTTTCCTTAATTGTTTTTTCTTTTATTTTGTAAGACTAAAGATCAATTATAAAATTTTATTTTTTAATAAAATTTATTAAAAATATAATTAAAATTAATTAATCACATGTCAAAAACTGATTTGTTAACTTGACATGTGTCACGATTAGACAAGTTAGTAACTTTAAATTATTATTTTTATATATAATAAGATATTTCTTTTCATATTTTGAATTGATATATTTTGTTTAATGTAATTAAAATATTTAGTTTATCAAGGTGTATCTATTATAATAGGAAACAAATTTTCTATATTTTCCATAATATATTGCAAATTTGAAATTTGAACGTAAAAGTAATCTTTTAGATTTAAAGTTCTCTTAAAAATTTCAGATTTATATTGTAAGTAAGTTAATTTTTAGTTTTTACTATATCAATTAAAATCTATGTGTACACTTGTCGGCAAAACAAAAATCTATTTTACACTCTTCTTATAAACAAAATTTAACATTTAAATATGATAAATCTTAATTTTTTGGTAGAAAATCTAACTATATTCTTTTTATAAAAGTTGGCCATGAGAGAGCGCCACATCTCCCCAATGTTAAAGTAAACTCGCCAGCGTAATCAATTTTAAACCGCTTAGAACCATTTCTTAAAATACTCGTAAGTTTAAAATCGGGCTTAATAACAGGTCCAACAAATAACCTCATCAGCCATTATAATCAATTTTAAACCGCTTAGAACCATTTCTTAAAAAACTCGATTATTTAAGTTTAAAATCGGGCTTAAAAACAGGCCCAACAGGAGAATTACTCACTCATTCTTCGATATGGGCCTTAACTTGAAAAAAAATATTTATGAAGATGATGACTCTTATTTATAGTGCAGCTTCCCCTACTCAATTATCCAAGTTTGTCGATGTGGGACAAACCAAAAGATCCACTTTTATAAAATTTTCATGGGTATTTATATCTATTATAATAAAACATAAGCACATTTAGTACTTGTTTCCAAACACTCCTAATTTTTTTTTAAGTGTTTAAAAATAATTTTAATAATTATTTATAATTAATTTCGAAAATTAATTATTAATTTAAATATTTTTAGAGTTCCTTAAATATAGGTAATTTAAATTTGATTTGATTTGATTAAAAATAATAAATCAGATATTAATTTAGAGTTGATTTAAAGATTTTAATTTAAATAATTTTTATACTATTAAACTTTTTATCAAAAATATCTAGAATTTTTGAAAAAAAATAATTCACATATGAAAAATAATGGTCATATTTGAAATATAAAATATTTATAATGATGTAAATGATATGATATTTATGTTGCTTATATAATATATTTACGATTATGATTTATTTACAAAATAATAATAAAATAATTGGGTAAAAATGTATAATTTAAATATTAAAAATATATTTCTTAAAATTCAAAGAACTAAAAATATATATAAAAAAATCGGGTTAAAAATATTTTGGTAACTAAAATCACTAATTTTGAATTATACATGTATATCGAAAATATATTTTTTATACAACATCAAAACATAAAAAATTAAAAATTATTGCATACACTATAATGTGGTTTGAAAAACCAGTTGTACACTCCCTTCGTTGATTAAATTTTAAAAAACTATAATGCTAAATAATACTGTCAATACATCTCAAACTTTTAACAGATATTTATATTATTCGGTAATATGAACGAAAAAGTTAAAATTATATTTTTATAATAGTTTATTTTGAATTAATATTAGCGCACGGGTTAAAATTATATTTTTATAATCATAATTAATTTTAATACTATAAAAATATATCTAAACACAAAAATCAATATTTTCACTTATTAAAAAATATATTTATAAAAATAATTATATCTAAACTCAAAAACACAAATTATATTACAAAATTCGTTAAACAATAAAAAATATTCTCGTGCGGATGCACGGGGTTAGAATTTGAATTAAATTTGGGTCTTCATCACATCAATATGTCTTCTAAGTTTATCATTATACATATATTTATACATTAGAAAGTTTATACATATATTCATCATTAATATATAATAGAAGCAAGCTTGGTTTGAATAGACACTAGCTAAGTTTTAATATTATTTGGTAATATTGGCAGGATCACCTCGAGAGTTGTCTACTCGATAGTGATGCATTCTTTGATTTTCACGGCATACGCTTTGCTGATGTACCAAATTTTCTCTACATACGGGTTTGATGATCTCCACCAAGTTATGGATGTGATCGGTCTCAGCTACTTTTACCTTATCTATGTCGCAGCGGAAGTTGCATTAAGATGGTCTTGTGTGGATCCGGTGGCTGTCCTTATGTCCGGCCATGTCGCTCATATACTAGGATCAATCTTTCTCACTGCCTACATGATTCCATTAAATCCGATAGAGGGTCTTCTCTTTACTTTCTTTGGGACATTACTTGTGTGTTGGACCATATTCGTTTTATGTGTCGATTTTATTCCTGCTTTTAAAAGAGATAGCTACTTAACCGAACCACTGGTTTAGGGGGGTAGGTATCTACTTAAAACAAGAGCCTAAGCAGTAAGCTCGAACAACGAACATAGTATTTGACAAAACAAAGAAACATCAAACATTAAAGAAAACGTCAAGATCATTTTCTATATTTTTGAATTTTTGTTAGTATTTTATTTTGGTAACATGTGAATTGTGATTTCCAGTAAAACTCTAGATTAGTTTTTGAAGTAATGCACATTCTTCATATTGAACCGTTATTTTCTCGATCTTCTTAGATTAGTAGATGGTCGTTTTCTATTCTTTTGTATTAGTTAAAGTATTACTTAGATTATACTCAACATATAAAAATTTGACCTAAGCATTAGTAAATAATTGCTTTCACCACCTTATTTTCGAAAACTAATATTCTCATTTCTAACTGAATACAAGCTTTTTAAAAAGAAAAAACAAACCTCTGCTTAGAGATATAAACACACAATCTTTTAAACAAAACGTTATGCAAAGATTAACAAACACATCAACGGACATTCAAAATGATATAGATTAGAGACTAGTCTTAAACATCACCTATGTACTTACCGTAGTTGAAGCGACATTAGTCGGGTGATAAAATTGAGAAAGTCAACGATTCACCAGCTCAGATTGAAGCATATCCCTAACACGACGCTCCACTTTTACTATGATACTATAACTATGCTTTGTTAAATTTTCAGAGAGTGACAGTTAGCAACGGGACTTTTCTTATCAGGGATAAGAATGAGAGAGGATCTTCTGGTATTTGATTGATTTTTTTTTTTTTTTTTTTTTTTGGTCGAAGGTATTTGATTGATTAATTTCTGAAAATGATAAGAGGTTTACTGGTACACCGGATTTACAACTAAACCAAAGTAAAGAAAAAAAAAATCAGTAAACTAAATATCACTTAAAATACGACAACCAAAAGAAAAACTGACATAGCTGGAAACCATGTGATCACAATTAACTGCATGAGGATTATGACTCCCATAAACAGTCCAAGAGATCTGAACAACTCTATATATCATAGCCCTCTAAATCTGTCCTATCTGAATAACAGCATCTCCAACCATACACAAAAAACCAAATTTGGTGTTGATTCTTCTCCAATGATGCACTAAATGTTGCACCAAATTTTTATTTTGGTGTTTTGTGAATAGTGTTGCACCAAACACTATTCACAACACCAAACATTAAAATATTATTTTTTCCATTTACTCATATAATTATATTATTGTTTATTAGTTAATTAAATTATATTGATTTCAGGAGTGTAGGATCCATTCTTGTAATTTAGAATTGCACAAAATTTTGTTATTAATATGTAAATAAATTAAGATTAAAAATTCATAATAAAGTTTAATTAAACATTTCAACATAAAATTACTAAATGAAAGCCAAAAAAAATTAAAAAAAAACAAAATACAACAAAATAATTTTAAAAACATAATATAACTTTAAACAATATTCTAATAGTCTGGATTACCATTTCTGCTAAGATAATGATAGTACGGGGTATAATCTTGTTGGTCACTTGGGGATATTTGGTCTTCTCTTTGATTTTGTTCTCCTTGGATATGGTCTCCTTGAATTTGTTCTCCTTGAGTTGGATCTCCTTGTTACTGAAATTCTCGATATTGAGATTCACGATATTGGATTCGAGAACTCTCTCCGTGCCCTCCATATTGGTTTGATGGCGGTCTTTTACTCAGAATTTCCGCTCTTTGACTTTCAATATACGCACGACATGCTGGATCGGTTATAGAACTCAAATCCGCAAATAATATTTTCTGCTCTTGTTTCATTCTTCGTAACTCAAGCTTCTGTCTTCGAATTTCAATTTTTTCAGAAGAATGTTTAGCAAGAGCTTTGGTAAGCTTTTCATTTTGCTCCAAATTTTTTTAAAAATTTTCATCATCTTGTTGTTTTTTCTTTGCTTTTTTCACACCCATAGGTCTCTGAGATAAATTAGTAGTGGTTTCTTCGTTATTCATATTTAATGGCTGAGATTGATCCGTCTTTTTCTCAGAAGATGATAATTGATACAGATATGATGTAACTAATGAATGCAACAATAAATTCAAAAGATATGATGTAACTAACTAAGAAATCCTTATAAGATTAATTACAAGGATTTATAAGATTACTTATAAGGGTTTATAAGACTATAATTATTTTTTCATTGTCTTATATTACAAAAAAAAAATCTTATAAAGATTTATGAGATTAGTTATAAGGATT